AAAAAAAAAAAAGTTGAATAATCTGATCAATGAGGTCGAATTGTTTTAAATACATTGACAAATTTCTCGAATGCTTCTTGTGATCGATTTCTTCTCATTCCAACAGAACTTGCTGCTATTGATGTTGTTGGAATTGTACCTGAACCAGGTGGACTAAAATTACTTGACTGATCAAATCGTACTTGATCAATATTATTTGCGGTTATATCATGTCCATGTGTTATTATAAGAACAAGTAAACGTTTGATTTCCAAAATATCAATACGATTTTTAATTGTTTCATCAAGTGTTTCATCATAAATTTTTGAATATTCTAAACAAATTTCACATAAATCTTTTTCTTCATGTCCAATTACAATACGAAATACTGTTTCATAATCGATTGGTGTTTTATCTAATGCTTGTCGAATAATTTTAGCATAATAATCACCTGGTGATCGTGTGTATTCAACCATATCTTGAAAACATTCGATATCTGTTTGTTCTTGAAATTCTCGTTCAATTGCTTCTTGTATTGGTCCTCCATATTTATCTTCATATATATCAAATATAGCAGATAATTGTGAAAAAGCATCACGTGTAAAAATCTTTATAAATGTATCATAATCAATACCAGGTGTACCTTCACCAGCTTCATATAATTTTCTTGCGATATTTTTAGCTATTGAAGCTGAATGGCCAGATTCTTCATAACGTTTACCTTCAATTAAATGTATAAGTAAACGTGATATAATACTATCAACACCTTGAACAACTTCAATATCTTTTTCAGCTGAATTTTCAAATAAATTTTCATAGGATTGTTTAAATTTTTTTGCATCATCATTATTTAATACTAATAAAATTTCCACTAATTTTCTTGATATATTATAATCAATTTTATTCAATTGTTTTAATGTAAGTAAATCATGAAAATGACGTGCATATAAGTCAACTGGTTCAACTAACATAGATAATGTACATGAACGCATAGGAGATTCAGGTCTTTCAAGTACCATATCAACTAAGTTATATTCATATTCAAATTCAAGATCATGAACAAGAATCATACGTTGTTCACATGTATATGATGATAGAAAATGAAGAATATAATCTAGATCTAATGTATGTGCTGTTATACAATGTTTCATTATTTTACATAGATGTTTTGTATCACGTTTATAATCAAAATCTGTTGCATGTCCAAATGAAGGAACAGTTGATTGTCTCTAAATATAAAAAAAGAAATCGTATTTATATAGATTTTATTTTTTTTTCTATATTTAAAATAGATGATAGAAAATTTACCTTATATGACATTTTTAAAAGTGAATGATTAGATGATCCATGCATTTTTAGTTGTTATTAATAATATAAAAAAAAAACTCGACTCAATACATATGAGTAGGAATGATTAGAAGTATATATTGGTTATAAAATGTTAGTTTTACAACATCCGATAAAGGTCAAATACTTACTGGTAGACGTTTTTCTAATTTTGTTAAATTACTATCGTATGTTTTTGATCGTACTAATGTTTTCACTTTGTTTACATCATGATGTGAAACTTGTGAAACTTTACGTAATAAACTTGCCATTGATTTGATTTTTTCAGTTTTTAGAAATTAATAATGACAAAAGAGAAATGCTTAAAATGATAGAGAGTAATACTTATTCAATGATGTTATTTATATGAAAAATATGATAGCAACAAAAAATAAGAAAAAAAATAAGAGAAAAAAATAGTTTGATTCTTTTTTCTAGTGCATTATCGAAAGACATAAGGGCGTGGTGAAAGATGGAGAGAAAGAAATATATGTATATTGCAAGTCATGCTTCGCCGATTTATCTCCGAGTAATAACAAAGCGAATGTATCGGGGATGAATTATATCCATTTTGTTGTCCGCACTTACGGGGGTACATATGACTACTCATTTTTTCTCTTTTGTGTATCATGACGAAGAATATGCACGTAGGTGATGATCGGATAGTATTTTAAAGGATATTGTTTAGTGAATTAGGGGGCATATAAAGGTCAAATAAAATACAATCAGATAAATACACACATATATATAGATAGATAGAAAGTGACCGATAAATTAATCTATTTTAAAACTAAATAATGTACTCTATGATCTCTCTGATGGTCTATATTCATCGATAATATCTCGCATTGTACGAATTTGATTGGGGTCGACATGACAGCATCCACCTATGTATTTTATATCAGCATCAATGTATGAGCGAATAAATGGTGCGATTGAAGGACGTTCACCATTGTATTCTCTATAATGATAAAAATAGATTACATATACGCCTATACACAAAAATAATGTGATTATTACCTTTTTTCAGCATCCCACGTAACAGCAGCATTAGGATAGGCAATTAAATCACGATCGATTTTATTCATTCGTTCAATAAGAGGAATAACATTATTTGGATGAACACAATTAACACCAACAGCTATTATTTGATCAGCAGAAGATTTAGAACATATAGATGCTACTGCTTCTTCAATTGGTTCACCATGTGCTGTTGATTTAGTATCCTGCAGACATAAATATTGTAGTTTCAATAATAATTTACTTTTTTTTAAAGATTTCTATTCTTAGACTATGAAAAGAGAAACGGAGTAGAAAACAAATATTCATTATTTATTCTAAAAAAAATAATCTTTCATAGTAAATATACATAAAACATATAATTTAATGTTCATCTTTTCTTTTTCTTTCATTCGAACACAATTCAATAAATATATAAGACTGTCGAAAAGCTCAATTTATCTTATTATTCTTTAATTATAGAATAGTACTTTATACGTTTGAAAGTATTCTTGTAGGACAAAAGTTAATAATTAATGATAACAAATAAAGATGAAATAAAATATTAATATATTTGAAAAATGAGAAACTTTTTTCTTTTGTCTTAAGGTTAGAAGAACATATACCTGACAGTTGAACGAAAGCCAACCTTTTACATTTGGAAATTCTTTTAGTAATTCAACAAGTGCTTCAGCTTCTTTCTGCGATGGAATTGTTTCAAAAGCAATCAAATCAGGTTCAGCACGAGCTAAGACTGCTAGTCGAGGTCGATGCCAATCTTTGAATTGCTAAATATAATCTATTATTTTCAATTCAAATAAATAATATAAACTACTTCGATACTCATTGAATCTGTATACCATCCATTGAATTCACTACCATCACATAACATCGCTCCATAGGGACCAATTGAAGCTGCAACATGACACTGTGCTTTTTCCTCTTCTATATTAAAATATATTATCAATTTTTTTGTCTTTCAATAATAAAACTAACCGATAATATTTCGAACAAGTTTTACTGAATTATAAATAATTTCTTCTGCTTGTTCATGAGACAATTGACAATATTTCATTAAATGATCAATTGAAAGTTGATAAGTAGCAGTTAAAATAAAATCACATTTAGCTTGAATAAAACTAAATTTTAATTGATTTTTATATTTATTCTATATTGATTTATTTTTAACTTACGCTCGATGTATTCCAGCAAGTTTTTCCGGTTGTTTGACTAAGGTTTTTCCAGACCTGATAAAAAATAATTATTAGAAAATTATATGTTTTTTTTTAAAATATTATTAACCATAATGGATCATTATTTACGTCACAACCATAGTCTTGCAATGTTGTGCCAAGACCTCCATCAATTAAAATAATTTTATCATTTTTTCGTGAAAAATTCATCTAAAAAAATATTTATTTATCATTGTTTTCTTTTACCGCTTGATTTTTTTTTTCATAAAATAAGTAAAAGGAAATAGATTTTCTTCTTCTTTTTTTCTCATGTCTTTTTTTTCTTTTCATCTCGACAAACAGCGATTTATAATTTTAATATAACAAAAAAAAAAAAGAAGAAGAAACGAAGAAAAAGAAAAGTTAGTTAAATAAAATAATCACTGTTCTAATGTTTCACGATGAAGCGCAAACACAATTTACTAACAATTGGAAAAGAAATAATAATGAACATCCAATTGATAGAGTATTTACAGCTGATTTCAATACGAATCAACAACTAAGATATCCATATTCAAATACTCGATCAAGAAATTATAAATCAGAAACAAAACATATTATTCAACGTCAACGAGTCATACAATCTTTTTTAACTAAACCTGATGGAATTGAAGTAAGTAGAGAATATGATATGATAATCTCGTTTTTTAGTATCTAATGTATGTAATGATTTCTAGACCGGAGTATGATATAGATTAGCCTTAACCGGTAGTATTCGCGAAGTTACTCACTTTGAAACTGCCAGGGAGCACGTATGAAAGACACAGTCTCAATTCATTTGTAGTGCTGTGCAGGGAAAACAAACAATGAGAGAGAGCATATAGATTCCAAAGCAAAAGCCCTTATATACTTATATGTATATGACTCAAGAATCCTGATTACACGAAACTGACTCAGGAATCTCAACCATATGCATATGAGTCAATAATTCTTTGGCTCATGAAATAACACGGCGAGTGCCGTGACAAGTGCAATGAAACATCATTTGACTTTATTAGTTATTTAGTGTCCGATAGAGTTTTGCATCGAGTCGATCTAGTAAACTCGACAAGTCTATTATGAAGTATATCAGTATTGATGACTACTCTACATATAGTTAGTAACATATGTCTATTATTTCAGTCAGCTATTCAAAAATCGATTACACTTAATACTCAACCGAAAATTTTATCAATAACATCTATTCCATCTCCACAATTATTATTACCTGAGTTAAATGAACAATCAACAAATAATAATAATCGACAACCAATAATAAGAAAAGAATTCGATCGACAATCACCTGTTTTTGTTCGTCATCATCGTCGTACAATAGAACATCTTTCTCTTAATCAACAAACGTCAGATATTACAAATATTTCTGGTAATCAAGTTACATTATCAATTCCACCCAATTTCACATTTCGAAATAAACCATCACGTGTTTATCTGTCTGATAGATCAGCATATAAAATAAATAATCGAATATTTTCTCCACGTATCAAATCAACAAATCCTCCTAAACCTATTCAAGAAGGTAAACAAAATATATTTCAATCCAAATCAGTTCATCGACATAATTCTATTCCAACACCTATATGGATACCAACATTACCAGAACAAGATGCTGTTCATACTCGAACCTTAACAGATATTGCACGAACAAAATCTTATCCACCAAAAGTTTTTAAGAATTATCATTCTCAATCTATACCATCGAATCGAATAAATTCTAATCTAAAAACAAATGATATTCAAGATTTATATATATCACCACGATCACCATTAAATAATCCACCGAATGAAATAGAAACTGATAAGAATATTATCCGTGAAAAAGAATTAACTGTTAGTGAATGTAAGTTATAAAATAATATTCTTTTGCTTGATTGATCTGTTTTGTAAATATACTCATGATGAAAACCGGAAATAAATTTTATTTTTGAGTTTTAATCATAGAGAGGAAAATGAGATTGTTTAATTTGCAATAAAAGCATAAAGTCAATTTTGCTTTTTAATTGTCGATATTTATCGTAAACATTACATTTACAACATTTTTCTTTTTTTTTTTCAAATAGGGGAAGATTCTAAAACGATCAATGATGATGTATTCGATGAAGACGAATCAACCAGCTCTGATGGAAACAGTTCAACATCAACATGTGATTCTCAAATTACTGTTCAACAATCTCGTCGTAAATCCACTTCATCCATCACGTATGATACATTTTTATCTAATAAGAGTTCGAAATTAAAATCTCAACGTTTACCAAGCAGACGAAATATATCTCGACGGTATCCATATACTCTTGCATTACCACCCCTTCTTGAACATACTCATGATGAGGAAATAGGTGATGAATTCAATTGACTTTTTTTTTGTTTGTTCCTTATCTTACATAAAACAAAACATATATATAATCTTTTTCATAACATTCATATAGATATGACGAAAATATTTGAAAAAATTTCCACTCTACAAAATAATGATTTCAATGAAAAAAAATTTGAAAGATCATTCAATGACGAAGACAGTTTAACATTTCAATTATTAAATCAACAAGAAACAGAATTTGAAAAAAAATTATCGAAATTAAGAAAATTTGAATTTAAACAAAATTAAATACAAAAATCATTTTCTTTTATATACTTTGTTTGTTTTTTTCTTATCTCTCCAATCAAGAATATATACAATATACATACATATTTATATACACTTTTCCAAGACAAAAAAAAAAATCTTTTTTCTTATGTAAACATCACAATAGAAATAAATGTCTATCATATTAAACATTCCCAAAGAAAATAACTAATTTTTTGTGTAAATGTTTCAATAAATGGCGTACAATTAATATTATTTTGTTGTTTGACTACATACGATTTCTAGAAAAATAAAATTTTTGATAATAAATTCTATGAAATATTTCTATGCATCTTACTAGACTATTTTGATCCGATCGATAAATAAGAACAAGAAACGCATCGCATTTTTCTGGAGCTTTATTTTGAAAGACGACCTTAAAACAAAAAAAATAATTTTAGCCCTGACAACAGTATCAATAAACAAAATTCTTACTAGATAATTGACAGTTGTCGAATTCATCATATGAAATTGTGTACCATATCGTAATTTTAAAAATCTATATAATCTATCCAATTGTTCTTTGTTAATAAATACTCGTTGTAATAATGTATTCACAGTTGTTAATTCCATTGTTTCATCACCGATACATGAATCTAATAATGCTTGAAATTCATTTATATGTATTGATACGTTCTATATAGAAAATAAAATCAACGATCTTTTAATATTCAATAGAAATATTTTACTTCTTGACGTCCAGTTTGAGTGTTATCTGATCGAGCAGAAATTAATTTTTCCCAAAGACTTTCTCGACGATGTTGTAATGTTGCTTTGTTTAATATAGATACTAGTTTTAATCTAAATATGATTGTTAATTTTAGTTTAAAATCAAACTTCATTATTTTATTACCGGAAAAATTCAACATTTCGATCAACTGGTATATTATTTGCAATATATTGCTCGCCGCCAACTGTGTTTGATCGAAGCGGTACGACGAGATTAGTTTTTCCTGATGGTACCAATATAGTTGAAGCACGTTCTCTCATTTGACTCATAGTTGCACTGTTTTTTAGACTATTTGCTATTCGATTATTAGTTGGTGGAGGTACTGAAATTTTATTTAATGTTGATAATGGTATATTCGATGGATTGAGTAATTTCGGCTCTAAATTTGTATAGATAATATACATTACAACTGTTAATTCAGCAGGTGAAGATGGTGTTGTTCGAGCAGCCATCCAATAAATATCTTTGTGATCACAATTAAATAAATATTCATCCTAATAATCGTAAAATAGAAAAAAACATATTTGTTCAGTGAGAGAGAGAAAAATTGAGACGGTTAATAAACTTACAGTATTTCGTTTTCTTATCTGAATATTATAGGATTCTGCATGTTTAAGTACATATTTGAATAACTCATTATCTGCTGCTCGTTTATTACCATCAATTGAATGATGAATAATTACTATAGACAAATAAATAAATAAGTATTTTATTTATCTTTCAAAGAATTTACTTTTAAATAATGCAGTTTTTGATCCAATAGGTGCAGTTGGATAATATTCAATAAAATCTTGTAAAAATGTAATTACTGAAAAATCTGATGAAAATCTACGTTCATCTTCTGGTTTTAATTGATAAGCAACAATTGTTTGAAGATGAAAATCATAAACAAATGGATTAAGTTCTGATTGTTCCGGACTACAAAATGATTCATTGGATATCTAATTACACAAAAAGAAAAAATCTCTATTGAAAAAACAAAAATCCTAACATACTGATCGAAAATGATTCGTTGTTGATAATTGATTATTAGTTGGTATTTTAATAATATCATATTGAAGGAAACGTATAATAACTTGAACATTATTCAATACTGATACTTCTGCAAGTAAAGTTGCACGTCGACCTTGATCAGAACGATGAAAATTATATTCAGCTGGTGATTGAACATGTAATGAACGAGGATTTCTAGGGAAAATAATTATTGAAGAAAATTTCATGAATTAACATTGTATTTACTTTCGAGGATTTAATTTTGTATTTATTAAATAAAATTTATACGTATTTTGTAAATGTAGAGATAATTGTTCGACAAATGATTCAATGATTGAAGGTTGTTGTTGTTCACCTGTATTTACACGATTTGAATCAAAACGTGTTAATTGACTTTGTGCAATTTGATAATCATTCTAAACAAAAGCAAAATATTTATTAATCATGTTTTTTTCCTATTAAAATTAATTATTTCTTATAGCAGCTACTTTGAATACATGAGTATACGTATTCTGCTAGAAAACGTTTTTTTTTCAACCAATAAATAATGTTATGAATGCAATTACCAAAAGAAAGAATATTTATATTAAAAAAACTAACCCCTAAAACACACTTAAATAAGCAAACTAATAGATCAATAGTTTTCTATTGATTGTGTAAAAGAGAAAAAATATGTTCATTAATAAGTGATTATTTCAAAAGAAATCCTTCCTAGGAGAAGTGCATCTTCATATTTTCAAAATAAATTATTATTAGTAAAATAATGTGAACTAAATAAACTAAGAAAATAAATATAATTAATGCTAAAAAAAAGAAGATGTTAGTAGCCAATGCCAGTTAAGAAAAGAAATAGAATGGTATATAAACGCTGTACTGTAAGTGATTTTATGCAAATAAAAATGAATGTGATATATGTGATATGTGTATGTATATGTGTGGATTAGGAGAAGGGGTACATGAGCAGCGATGATATCTAGAAAAACTTAGACACCTCATCAACAAATTGACCTAATCGGCGTAGACTAAAATCGACTGGAATAGCAACAGATTTCCGTTTGTTTGCCATACGCATAGATAATGTGCCTTCAGTTGCTGACGTAGAAGCATCCTGAAAACATAGATATTTACATATACATCGCGAATTTCGAAATTTTACAAAATAAGTTTCTATTATAACAGTCAACAAGGAATTTGGTATTATATTTTAAATAAAATCAATCAAAATAATTACTCACTAGACAAAGTGCATTATTTGCACGTAATGTTGTATCATTTTGAAAAAAATGTCGAGTAGGTCGAGAGAAAAGTATAGGTGCAACAGCAATAGTTAATAATCGTGAACGATGTTTCATTTGAGTTAATAATTCATCCTTAAATATTAAGATAAGAAATTCATAGATGTATATAATCAATATCAATTTTATTATCTAAACTAACTGCAATAAATAATTTTGGTTTAAGTATCCAATTTGAACATATTTCTTCAAGTTTTGTACATCGATCCATATCTAAATAATTTCATTTTAATATTCTATGAAATACATTTGTTAAAAAAATTAGTGATTGACACCTATAGGTCACATCACCCATCTCATTTTTTCAATTCTATCAGCTTACGAGAGAACCAGGGATATGTACCCAAGTTGGTGTCTGACTGAGATATCGGCTATTTAGTGTATTTATCCTATAGGATCCTATCTGTGGGATAAAATCAAAATTTCGAATTTAGGCCTGAAACTTTGTCCATACTAAGATCTCAACCAGACAAGTTTTCTTACGAAGTTTCAGAAATTTTAGACAGATTATCTCCGAGATATGAATCCGTCAAAGTATTCATGTGGAACCTAATATCCATAAGAAAGCGTCTCTATGCTAACATACTTGTATCTCGGAGATAATCTGTCTAAAATTTCTGAAACTTTATAAGCAAACTTGTCCGGTTGAGGTCTTAGTATGGACAGAGTTTCAGGCTTAAATTCGAAATTTTGATTTTATCGCACAGATAGAACCCTATAGGACAAATACACTAAATAGCCAATATCTCAGTCAGACACCAACTTGGGCACATATCCTTTTAGGTTTTTTCTACTCTATGCATCCCCTACTTGTGGACAAAATTTCAACTCAATAGCTTTTTGACGCCTCGGGTAGTCCCCTCGTTAGATCAATAATTATGGCAATCGTTAAAAATACTTTTAATTTCTAAATCATTATTTACTACACTGATACAATTAAGAAATATACTGAATATAGCGGAATAACATATTTTGAACTCCCACGAAAGTAAATGCTAATAAAACAATCAATTTCTTCTCGATTTTAACTATTTTTTATTTATAGATTCTGTATCGATAAATGGACGCGTAACTTTGATTAATTATTAGTATAGGAAGATAATTAGCATACGATTTTTTTTATTTTCTTTTAATTGGAGTAATTGTGTTCCATGTCTTTGAATAAGATCTTGACTAGAATCATTTGGTAATGATGGATATGAACCAATTAAATTACAATAAAGTAAATCAATATTCCATGATGTATAAATATTTCCTGTTTTTGGTGGTGTAGTATCTTTAATAACTTGTTCAAGATCAACATTATCACCTTTAACTGGATGCTAAAATATTATAAAATAAAACAAAAACATATATATTTTAAAAATCATCATCGTCAAACTTTATTTATTAGTCCATGTTGTGCATGATGACGACTATAGTCAGAATGTTGATCATGATGAAATGATCGATAACGAAAAAGACCCATTTTTTGTGTTACAATTATATTTAAAACATTTAAACGTTTATTTGACCAATTAATTATATTAGAAAAATAACCCATTAATAATTTCGATAATTCATCAGGTGCATTATGTAATATCATTGTTAACTAAATAACAAAAAAAAACTAAATTTATCTGATTTTTTCAAAATTACTTTTTTATCATTTGCAGTAACATATAAAAATATTTTCTTTTGAATATCCGAACTATTTGCTAATGCCACTAGAAGTAACGAACAATTATAAATTCTTATTTCAAAAAATTATCAATTATATATTTACTAGCATCACCAGATTCTTGTTGCGGTGATGGTTCAATACTTTCACTAGGTAAATCATTAACCATTTTACTACTTTGATATAATACAATAAGATCAAGATTTTCACCAGGTATACGTGTCGGCTAAAAATAAGATTTTTATAAGATAAAATTATACGAATGAAAATGGAATCTAAATCACATCAGATACATTTATTAGGCATGTACCGAGACCGAGTCTCTTGGACTCGATCAGGCTCGAGGCTCGAGGCTCGGGTGTCAGATTGATATAGGAGTGAGTTTCTGACACCCGAACCCGACCGAGCCCCAAGCCTACCGAGCCTCTCGGGTTCGGGCTCGGTACATCCCTAACACTTATGAGCACTTAAAGTATTTCTTTCTCTTTCTTGCAAAAGTCTAGATCTACTACTGTTTAAAAATATGTTAATTTCGTTTTCTTTACCATTTGATCTACTGATGGTACTGGTAAATATAGAGTTCGTTCTTTATTACAACGAAATATCATTCCATGTAGTGATTCATGTTTATATGCAATAAATTTTTGTTCATTAAGCCATGATGTAAAATTAGATATGATATCCATTAATAACATTCGATTAGTTAATGTATAGGAACAAGATGTTAATGATGGAAGTTTTGCATCTAAAAACGAATGAATTTTTTGTATTTAGAGAATATAATTTAATTAATTAATATTACAATTTGTAGTTAAATATTGAAACCATGATGTTAAACATTCAGCATAATCAACTGATAATGATTGCGGTTCATCCATGGATGAACCACTTAGTATTGAACTTTGATTTGATTCATGACGCTATTTGTAAGAAAATCAAGAAAAAATAAAGATTTTATTTAGAAAAATTAGTTTTTTGGAAAACTGAAAGAACAATGCAGTTTTAAAAAAGCATTGCTTATTTAGCCAGCCGAAGATAAATGCAATTCGAAGCAAAAAAGTTGTTTTTTTGATATAGATATATTAGTGGAAAAGAATAGAGTGTGAATAAACCTGCAATTTGATAGGTGAGTGTGAACCAACAGATCTGTTCACTTTAGTAAAAATATTAAATAGACCACTAGGACTATTCATTGAATGCTAGAATTACACATTGTCTCAAATAGAATATTTAGAAATTATCATTCAACATTAACAAAAGCAATCAATATTGATATTAAATGCAATAATCATAGATGAAGAAATTAAACTTACACGTCTAGATTGTGCTGTAGGTGTTGTTGGTGTTGTATCTATTGTATATGTTCGTGCTGCTTGTACATTTCGATCAAGAGCAAAATCTTCGAAAAAAAAAATTTGAAATAAAAAGAAATAATAGATTATATTTTACTTGTTTCATCAGCAAATTTAACTGTATTCATTGAACGAGGTGATGGTGGTGGTTCTAATGATCCATGTCTTTGATTAAAATGATGGCTGTTATTATTACTATTATTATTATTATTTAATCTTAGTAAGAGTTTATATTCTGTAACATAATCTGCTAATGCAAATGTAAATGCTTGTAATAATGTATTTGACATTGCAGTTGGATCAATTTCTGGTTGACTACCACGTGCCCAAACATGACAACGAAGAATATTTTCAGGTGAATCTATTTCAAGAAAAAAACTTTTATACATAATCGATACTTTCTCTAATCTATTATTTAGAGCTAATTATTAGTTTATCAATAAAACAAGAATAGAAGTATTAATTCCTTAAAAATTTCAAGTAATCGAAATTCAAGAAGACAATAAGTAAAATATTTTTTCTGTCAATGGGTAGTAAATAAGGAATATCTTAAATTTTTATGGAATCATTTACATAAAAAAGAGCGAAATATTATTGTCTTACAATCAAATAACAGTATCTGTACAAAGAGAATATAGTTAAATTCAAAAACAAACTTCAATTTCTTTGTTTCATGTAAAGAAATATTCTAATTAAAAAAATAAAATTTTACTAACTATCTTCACTTGTTGAAGAAGAAGATTTTGTTTCTTCAATACGAATTAAATCAATAAGTGATTCAACAGTTAATTCATCAGATAAATCTTCTGTTGATAAAGGACTCGGGCGATTACTTGAATTTAATACATGTAATTCAATCCAGGCAAGACCTAAAACAAATCAAATAAATTTATTCTTATTTTTTCTTTATAATATACCTGGTCGTGGAATTCGAATATTAAAATTACGATTATAAACAATTAATGTTTGTCCATGATAATCTTTGATAATATCCTAATTTAATATTATAAAAATAGTCATATATTATTAAATTAGATTTACTTTAAGATCTTTAGCAAGTACAGGTAAAAGAAGTGGTTGATGAAATGTATTTGTTTTGACATAACGTCGAAAATAATATAGAAAATCACTTGTATTAATTAATGGTGAAATTTTATATTCAAATATATGTTTTGGTTCACTATCAATTGGTCGAATAAACTAATTTATGAAACGAAAAAAGTGGATTTATTGAATTAGATACATTTTTTTCTTACAGTAACATCATCAGGATTTAAACGTGTCATTGCAAAATGATATAAAGCATTGACAAGTTCTTTAACAACTTCATCTTCTAATCGAGTGACAATAGATTGAATAAGATTACTTTTTACAGTTTCGAATTGAGGATCATTTGCTATTAGAAAATGAAAATATTTAATAATAGAAATTGAAATAAAATACAAACTTACTTGCTGATTTTAATCCATAAAGCATGACATGAACAGAAAATGTTCCCTAATAAAAATTATAATTTTATTTGATTAGAAAAATAATTATGTAGCATGTCTAAGAAGTCGATAGTACAAAGTGAATATCTCTATTGTATTTGATTTCTTTTCTGAGAATAAAGTACAGTTTTGTTATTCATGTGAATAGCTCTTATATGTTCTCATTTGGTGTATCCATTTCAAAGAGGATATCGGGTGTAATGAACTCCTACGGTTACAGCATGAAAGAGATATTCAATTTTAAGTGCCTCTTTTGTGACTTACGAGACATCTTATATATTAAGAAATCTCAAGTTATACATGTGTAATTGAGCGTATATACTTAATCATAATATGTTATCTAAACATAGTCAATCAAATTTATAATTCCCTTTTTACATCTCTATTAGTCTTTACTAAACCCTTCCCCCGAAATAGTAGGCCCTTTGGAGCAAACAACGCCTTAGAGGGGTAGAGGAACTCTTCCACAAAAAAAGTGCGAGTTGCGAAACCATAATAGAAGATCTCCGGCTCTTTTATTATGAGAGGAGGGGACTTAAAATGTTTTAAGCAATGCATTTAATTACTACGTACGATATAACAATCTATCGAAAAAAATCAATCTAGGAATCACGTTGATTGGAAATTATTTTAAGATTCAATGATTTGTGTTATATTAGACAGACTTTTATAAATGTAGAATTAAAAGAAAAAGAATATTTACTGAATCATGACGTTGACGATTTTTCATTGAATTATTCAATGATGAATTACTATTATTATGAGTAATTTGTGGTGATGGCATTTCACAATATTGATGATGATTTTCACTAAGTAATAATGTATCATCAACCAAACCAGGTATTGATGGTGGATGAATATCTTCTCGAAATCGCATATAATAATCATTACTTTTACCACAATAGACAAATAAATTTTTTCTATTGTGTACAGCTAACGAACTAAAATGTGTTGTTAATTCGCGTAAAAGTGAACCTAAAAAATTCCTTTCAACATATGATTTTAAAATAAAAATCTAATTTTTTACCTGGATGATAACCAGATGATGGTTTTAAACTCGGTGGTGCATGAATATGTGGACGAAGACGAAAATGTAAAGGAAATGAATGTGTCCATAATTCATCACAAGCAAACTTAATTAAAAATATTTTATATGAAGTAAGAAAATAAAAAACTTACTGTGCCGGGTGGTATACTTAAATTAGCTGTCAATACAGGTGCATCAGCATCAAGACTTGTATCATCATTCTCACCAGGTGGTACTAATAATGAATTACATAAACGAGAATTTGCTAAATTGCTTAATAATAATTTCTATAGATAAAAAATAATATTTATATATCTAAGAAAGAAAAAGAAAATTCGAACTTGATTAATTGTACGACATAAACGATTAAATTCATTGATTAATTCTTCTAATATTGCTTGAGCTTCACATGATTTTTGCATTGTATCAGATGATGAACTAGAATAATATCAAGAAAATATTTTTTTAGTAAATGTTTTGCTTTATTTACCCGCAGTATAAATAAAATTTAACTTCAAGTAAATCAACTTGAGATGATGTTTTTACTTTTCGTTCAATAAAAAGCCAAAATGATGGTTTAACATAATCATCAAGTTCATCTTCGATAGATTTTCTATCATCATCATCATCGTCACCAATCATTGAACCATCCGAACCTAAACTATCTTCATTAGCCATCGATGCTTGATCATCATTTGAAGTAGTTGATAAAGCTGTTTTTGTTTTTTGTTTCAAAAAGATATTCTCTATATTATCAGAAATCAATTCATTTCTACCTGATATTCGTCGTAGATGAATATCGTCGAAATTTTGATGTATTGGCTCAAGTAAAACAAAATAGTTTCCACAATTTGTTAGAATATATTTCTCTCGAATACGAATACGTTGTAATTCCTAATTTAAAGAAAAGTAAATTAAAATAAATATTGAAATTAATTTTTACTTCGAAAAATGGTGTCATTGATTTATCAATTCCAAGTACAAACATAAGATCAATTGAACGACAAAGACAATTCGATTTATTAATATTCACAGAACTTTGTACATGTTCAATAACATTTTCAATAAGTTTTCTATCAAGTGAACGACGAGTAAAATATGTTGAAAGTTGTTCATCGCGTAAAAGCCATTCAATCTTAAATTAAAACAATTTCAATTCTTCAATGAATTTATATATAAACAGAAGTTTCTCAGATCAAATCAAAGTGAGGAATGAAAAGGATTACTACACAATTATCAGTTGATAAAATCTGCCTTAGGTTATTACACTAGAGAATTCTGATCATTCATTTTGAAATTTAAATCTAATCGAAAGAAAATATCGTAGCATCGTCGAATATAATACATTTCCTTGAACATAAATGAAACTAATGCAAACTTTTACTGTCTAACATAATTGTGATTGCTATAACAATTTCATTAGTCCCAGCAGTGTTTTATCCAGCTTTTTTCGTCCGAGAGTTCAAAACTAATTGCTGAGGAGGCAAAAACCTATTTTTCAGGAGGAATAATGTAGTTTTATGCGAAAAAAGCACAATTCTTCTGAATTCCGGGAGGACCAGCGTAGCCTCTGAGGGGGGCAAAAAGCTCCTTGCCCTCCCGCTGGATAAAATACTGAGTCCCAGTCGACTTTTTTTCCAAGACTCAAGTTTCTTCTAAGTCAAAAAACTAAAGGCATCAACAAGCGTTTAGAAATCGAACTATTTCATAGTCTAAAATAAGCCAAATAAGTTGTTATAGAGTAAACTATCTGATCATGAATTGATTAAAACAAGTTATTATCAAACCTCTCGTCGACATGATAAAATTGCTTGTCTTTGTGCATCAGATAATCGAAGTTTATCCAATGGATTTCTAAATTATAGGTCAAAATCTAAATAAATTCAATATTCTTTTAAAATGATTTACTTATTCAATTCTCCAGCCATTGTTGTTCCTGTACAAGTACTTATATTCTCTACTGCATCAAGTCCATTCATTTCATGAAATCTTTTTGCTGATACAAATGGATGATTAAATATAGGTGTATTTGCTACAATACTACCCATGCTACTTATACCTTGTGTATCAATATCTTCACGTCCAAATGTTAAACAAATTAAACCAAATGAAACACGTAAACTTTCATAATCTAATTTTGTTTCATTTGGCTTTGGAATTAAATTACCTTTCAAGAAAAAACAAGAATTTCATTTTTATTTGATTATTCTTTTCTTTCTCTTACTTATACAAACTGGAATTGTTTTAACTGGTGTATTATAATCGTGATCTTTCATAACTAATCGACAATCAAAACAAATAAATAATGGTAAAACTTCTCCACGACAACACAATTCTCTCGAAGGATTTGATAATGAACTTGATGATTCATTTGAACGACGACGTGTTGTTGTTAATTGTAATTCTGGATCTTCATCATCATTATTATCATGAATATAAACAGTATCATTACTTCCATGATCATCATCACTACTACTTTCATGATCATGTCCATTTGTTTCATCGAATTTATATGGACCTGATGTTGATGTTATATCATTATTATTTGCTAAACGATCTTCTATTTCAAATGAATTTCGACTTTGTCGAAAACGTTCTTCATCAGTAAAGAAATAAAAATAATCCGAATCAGGTGATACACGATGAAAAAATTTATTTATGATTTCAAGAAATTTTTCATTTAAATATAAATTTATATGTTTTGTTGTTGGTTCACAAGGTATATCAAGTTCTAATGATCTATTAAAAATTAAAATAAATTTTTTCTGAATTTTCGTTTAAATAATAATAATATTTTACTTTGAATTATCAATTGATAAATGTGAACACATAGCTTTAAGAAATGGTGTTAAATTAATATCTTCATAATGTTCTTGATAGATTATAGTTAATGCGTATTCAACATCAGAACGATGTGTTGTTAAATCAAGTAGACAATTTTTATAAAAAGCTAGAATAGAAAGAATTAGCATTAAGAATAAGAATAAATGAATTTTACCAGTAGCAAAAACATAATGAAGTAAATCACGCATATTTTCAACTTGTTTATCATCATGATTTGGTAGATCATCATCATGACGACGAGAATTATCTAATAAAATAATCATTTTATTAGAATTTAGATGTCTTCTTATTTCATACCTCTTTTTCTGGGTTTTATATTTTGTAATGTTGTTGCTCCATTTGGTAGTTCACTATCATCTTTTGGACAATCAACATAAGTATCTGCCCAAAGATTTTTTACTTGTTGTTCATTTGATAAAAGTAATGATGATGCTAAGCGTCCTTTAGTACAACCATATAAAAATATTGGTATACGCCATTGACGTTCAACTAATTTTTTGAAATTATCGTGTGATAATAGTTGTTGTGGTGATGGTGGAATAAGATTTAATATAGGTGGAATATAAAGATGATTTGGTGGTGATATAGCAGCTGATGCTGAATAACGACGTGGTGATGATTCAATATGTGATAGATTATTTGTATCGATTGTTAATGGAGAATAGATTCGTCGATAACCAGTAGCTGCCGGTTGTGAAGATGAATGTTGTGAACTTTGAGATACAGTATGAATAATAGGAATCGGTGATGAAGATGATGTAATTTTGCCTTGAAGAAATCCTGGATGTGTACTATGAGGTACTAATAAATCCGATGAAGTGAATGTATCTCGACGTTGACGACGACTACGTGTATGTTTACCTTTAAAAAGAAATAGAAATTTTATTTTCTTGAAATTACATACGAAACAATTGACAAACCTGTGTGTTCTTCATTAGTTTTATTTTCTATATTTTCTGTTTTAGATAATAAACATGGTGGAGCACAACCAACTTGTGATTCAACATCATCTATTAAACCATCCATCATAAATCGACAATCATCATAAATAGGTATTCCATTATCAATATGATTCAATGAATAATGAGCAATAAGATCTTGCATAAGTATATTTAAATCCGTATTTAATAGAAGTAAATCACGTTCAGTTTTAGGTAATAATATCATATAAACAAATTCATCACCTTCAGCACAAACAAGAAAATCCCATTGTGGAAATAACATATCACTAAGATAACGTTCAAGATCAGTTAATATTATTGGTGTTTTTTGTTGATCATTATAATTAAGTAAATAAAGTAAATATCGATTCTTTTTTAAACTACGTAAACCAAGTGGTAATGAATTAGTTTTCGAATTTGTTGAACGTGATAATAATGTACGTGTATATGCATTATTATTTCCATTAATATCAAGAAATAATTGTGGTTTACTTTCATATGTTTTAGAACGAAGACGTTCGCGAAGTACAGTAAGTAATGTTGAATTAAGACTTGTTGATGTAAGTGAACCATCATTAGCGATATAATCATGTTTTATTTTATCATAATCTATATTTAAAAGATATTTATTTATAGAATGAAATAAAAATGTAATGTTTGTTGTTTTTTTACCATCAATAAAAGCACAAAAATCAAAATAAGTTTGATGTGAACGTCGTATAAGATTAATTGTATCTTGAATAAATGGCACGCGAACAATATCAGCTGTTAATGCTCGTGGTGCACGTAAAATAGGTCTTTTAAATAAATATTATTATAGAAATGAATGAATGTAAAAAATAAGAATATACTTTGGTAAAGATAAACTTCGTTCTTGTAAATATTTAACAAAATAAAATGAAACAATTGTATTGAAACATTCTTGATCAACTTCACCAATCTAAATAATCAATGATAACTTATTCATATGATATTCGAGAGTTTAAAAAATTCTATTAGATTTTGTTCTATTTTTCAACATAGTATTTATAAGTATAAAAAATATTCGTAGCTTTAGAAACGGAACTATTTAAATCGATCAATTCTTTCTTTGATCTGTGCGCTAGTTGTTCTCTAATCCAAACAAGTCTTACAATATATGAATAACTTGTCAAAACAGAGTAACATTACAAAATTTCTTATAAAACAGATTGTAAGCGAGATTTTAAATTATATCGAATAATGTGCAAATATTTTTTATATACCGACGGTGGTAATCTTATCTAAATATTTTTTGGATATTACTAATTCTTATTTGTTGTTAGTTAATAACGATAACTGAATGACTTAGTGAAATAATTTTGAATTAAAATATAGAAGACAATCATAAAATCAAAACAGACTAAGATATGTTACGAAGTATGTTTGATCTTTCTCTTTAACAAGTTTCGTCTCGTTCGTTTCTTTTCTTAAATATTCTTCATGAATAATCATAAAGTGATATTCTTCTACTTTGAATAAGATATAAAATACTTTGCTTTATTTTTCGTTATCTATTCTTTTTCAATAGAATTTCCTTTCAATAATACATCAAATAAGAAGAATTTAAATTCAATTTTATCAATATAAATATTACAATTTGCACATGGTATTTAATTACTTTATTTATAATATTCTTTTCAAAAATGAACACAAAATAAATTTCCTTTTCTTTTATATCATACTGATATTTACATTTAAAACAATCATATGATATGATACTAAAATAAAACTGATTGATATGTATATATATATGTTTGAATCTTGGTGGTAATAAAAGCCATAAATGTGTATTGTTCTTCATTTATCAAAATAATGAAACCATGAATGTATCGACTAAAGAATAGCAGCTTACCTCTGCATAATAATCACTTCAATCATTATTATTATCATCAATAAAATAAGAAAGGGATGATATGAACGACTGCAAAGAAGTGGAGGAGTTGAATCTCACCAATTGCTGGTGTTCAGGGTGAGACGAACCGCTCCACTTAGTCGAGTCGAGTACGCATATAGAGTATAAAATGATCATAAATATAATATAATCGAGAAAAAAACAACAAATGGGTCTATTCGCACGCGATAAGGTCTTCTCTCTATACGATCATTATTATGATCAAGCTCAAACTTACGAACGAACGGCTGTTGTTCTCACTCAAGAACGTGAAGAGTAATCGAAAAAAAAAAGTAAAGAGAGAGAGAGAGAGAGCGAACAAGGAAGAGTTGTAACATACGTTGCTGCCTTCATTTACAAATTTGTTCTCCCCCTTTCTTTTTTCGTTCGTCTAGATGTGCTTTTGTTTTCTCCCTGAACTTTACAGCTGTTGATAATCTGTTCGTGTATGTGTATGTGCTCGTGTAAAACGTGCTCTGTAGCGAAATTTGACTACGCATATAACACGAAGAACGATGAGGGAATTTCGAGTGGAGCGTGCAAGAAACTCAATCTGAGCTCGATTCTTTCTCTCTCTCTCTTTCTGTCTGTCTTGTTCGTTTTCGATGAATTAGGAATGGAAAGAAAAGACAAATTGTGCGTATAACATATATACATCGTCAATATAAAAATTAGAATTTGATTTACTACTTCTCCTCCTCTTCCATCCTGAACGATGTCATGATAAGGAGAAGAGACTGTCTATTATTTGATGCCTTGAAAAAAACGAAGACGAAGAAGAAGAAGAAAAAGAAGAATAATAATAAAAAAAGAACGAAAAGTATTCTAATCGAAAAAAAGCTACTCAATAATAATGACAGAAAGAGAAAAAAAGGCAACGAAGTATTAAAAGCTGATTGAATTTGAATCGTATTTGAGCTTTCGGCTTAAGTAAAGGTCGTTATATAGAATAGAAGATGAGACTTACAATATATATATGTATACATACATAATGAATAGTTGATTATGACTAGAAACTTATTGATATGAGCTGGAAGAATATAGATCTGGCATCAGAAGACATCTATGCGAAATCCATCTTCCAGCTTATATACAACTAAGTAAAAATAAGAAATATTTGTATGATGTCGTATGTTTGACGAAAAATGAGTATATGAAAATTTGCTTGATGTAAACTGCTCATTTTATATACGAAATGAAACGAGATGATAAGGGAGAGAGAGAAAAAAAAGAGAGTCAAATATGTTCTTCGGTATGCGTATTGGTCGAAAAATTCTTCTTTACGTTTTTTTTTTCGTTAATGCAAACACTGTTATCCGTTTTCGTTATGTTGACATACCTTTAAAGACAAGAAAAAAAAGCGCGTTGACGACAAATGTCTTATCCAAGAAATTAGAGATAAAACTCGAAATTCAAGTATGTTCTATTCTTACTAACTGGGCAACCTTCTTCTTCTTCTTTTTTTATCTCTGAAGCGAAGAGTGTACAACAAAGATGATGATGATGATAATAATAATGATGAAGTTTAAGAAATCTTCTTCTTCTTCGGTTTTTTTTTCTTGTTCGAAATCGAACATTTTTGATAAAATAGATTTAAATCCGTTTAGTTTCAATAATCAACAATTGATATGAACTATCTTGAATGTTTGATGTATTAGAAAGGAAAAAAAATTTCTCACATACGTAAGAGATAAAGTTTATATAGTGTATTCACTTTCATTAATGAGAAAGATGAAAAATATTTAGTTACATCATATTAACTTTAGACGTTCTATATTGATGATTTAGAAGAAAAAAATGATAATCATTTTTCTTTTCAAGTACTTTTACTTCTGATATCTACCGTTTATTAAGTAAACATTCATGTACTTGTCTTTTATATGTTGTTTAAAGTTACTATACAAAAAAAGACTGATGATTGACATGTTCACTCTTGAGATTACTTTAAGAGAGATGAAATAGATTTTTGATTTCTTACATACAACAATGATTGATTTCAATTTGTCTGATTAGACATTAAAAACAAAACATACCGAAATTTGAAAACTAACCTTATCCACAATTTGTTTATAAGTACAATGATTAAGAAATTCAAGTTCAGAACAACTGGTATCAACAAAACCATCTTGAGGTTCAATCCAACATTGAGTTAGAAAATAATAACATGTTGGTTGATCACAATAGATATTTGATGAACGTCGTAATGACATCGAACGAGTATCTCGCGATGCACTTCTATTAGAAAAAATAAATTTGATTAACAAAAAGTCTTGTAAAATATCCTTACGTATCAGTTAAACGACCACATTCAACTGGATAAACTCTATATTGTATAAGACAAGTTCGTGCTCTTTCATCTGGATAAAAATTTATATCAGAATTTAATCGAACTATATCTTTCGAATATTCTTCTTTTGGTGTCTAAAAATTTAAAATTTATTTCAATAAATAAAATATTCAAATTCATACATTCATTTTAACTTCAAGAACAAGATTATGAATATTATTATGTGATATAGCAAAATGAAAACCTTCTTGAAGTCGTCGTCTAAATATATACAAATATTTCATTAGTATATTTTATAGATATATGGATAATCTACCTTATGAAGGTATCAAGAATAATATCTGCTATTCGTTTAGGAATATTTGATGAATGTTTAATACTTTCAAATGAACGTACAAATGTACGTATGTAGAAAAATTTCGAAAGTGCTTGTCGTTTTGAATCTAATTCTGTTCGATTTTTTTGTTGAATATCATCATCATCTGGTTTTTGAATGCCAAGTGATTCATATGGAAATGGATCTGGTCTATAAAAACGAAATCGGAAATTATTTTTGCCTTCTTAGACTAATCAATTACTTGAGCATTAATCGTTCGATATTTTTATTTAAGACAACACAGCATGGAGATGATGATCGTTGTTGAATTGCAAGTGATGATGGTGGTATTGTTCGTTGACTATTTATTGAAACGGGTGTTGATGTTTGTTGTTTACGATTATTATCATTTAAATTTCCTGATTTCATACGTGAACGTGGACGAAGATGAATAAGATTATGTCGAAAATCTTCAATTATCTGTATAGAAGTAAAAAAAACGTATAACTTCCTTTTTCTTTTATTTTGTTATTACTTTATGTCGTTCAACAGTTGTTGCATTCGATTGAAAAGCAAATTTTAAATAGAGTAATGGTGGTTGTCCCATAATACGTAATAACATAAAACTATAGGGAATATTTTCATTATCTTCACGTATTAAAAATTTAATATAAGCTTGACCATCAAGCAAAACAAACGAAAAATATTCGGATAAAAATAATTCAAAATCATTTTTTGCTAAACGACATGAAACAGTGGAATATTGTTGATTATGTGATTGAGATAAATGATTATTCATAAGAAATAATGAATTAGATAGTGGATCATTTACTAAAATTATTGTTAAATTATGTGTATACATAAAACGTTGCCTAAAAAAATTAAAGGTAAAAAAAAGAAATATGACAAAATTTTCTGTGTACCATAATGATCCATCAAGAATGACAATTGGACGCCAGAAATCGGCAAATGCTTGAAGATCCGGGTCTCTAAAATAAAAATAAATGATCTTTTTTTTGTAAAGAATAATTTCATCTTACTTGACATTTAAGAATGCTTGTAAATCATTTTGTGTTAAATAAAAAATAGGTTTTCCACGTTTAATTGTTTCCGGGATACGATAATATGATGCATTTTGAGCAAATGTGTTAATTAATGTTAAATGTCGATCGGTAACAGAGACACTAAAAATAAAATTTAGAAATTTGTCTTTCTCAAAAAATGAAATCCTACGTTTGTATAACATCATTATAACGACGAACAAGATTATTACGAATAGCATTAGCTACTTTTGATGTTTGATTATAAGATAATTGATTTAATTCTTGTAGGAAATAAATTGGTGCTTCTTTATAAACTCGAATATCCGTTCTTATACTCTTTTCAAGTGGCCAAACTGAACGTGCTATATATTTTATTTGAATATCATAACGCCAAGGTAATACGAGATGAACCTCAATTTCATCTAAACGAAGAAATTTATAAGAAAATATTTAAAAACAAAGAAGAATATTAAAACCTTTATGAATTTGAACACGTTTAACTGTATAACCTTCACGTAAACGTAATGAAAGAACATTTTCTAATGATGTTCGAAGAACTGATTGATTAACTAATTTAGATGATATTGGTAAACTTATTGCATTCGATTTACTACAAACAAAAAAACGAAATTAATATTTAATTGTAATACTTATATACCTATTTCGTGTATCTCCATCATCAGTACTAAATGATCTAGTTGATGAACGTTTTGATGACGATGATGATGATGTATTATATTCTTCAACAGCTTTATGAAAACCTAATTGTGAATAAATAATGTTTTTTTTATCATATAGATAAGAATATTTAAAATTTACCCCATGATAAGAGTTCATTTTGAAATCCATTTAATTTTTTACAAACATTTAATATTTCAGCACCATTAGAAAATAAACGTGTTAATAATGTTGATCCACTACCTATATGATCAACATCAAAATGTATGAATGAACCAAATGTTGATAGACTAATAAATTTTAATAATTCTTCATTAGGTACATGTCCTAAACTAGCTATTGGTGGTTTTAATGTTTTATTATCTGTTGTTTGTTGTCGATTATTATTAGTTGAACCAATTTGAACAAATGAACAACTTATTATACGTGCTCGAATTTGTCTCATTACAGCTTCGAATGCTGCTAAATTTGGTACATCAAGAATACCATCAGTTATAATTACTAATGCTGCTGTTGATTCTTCAGGCATTAATTGTAAAGCAGTTATACCATAACTGAGCATATTTATTATAGCACATGATGATTCACTATTTGAATACATTGTATTTAGCTAAAAAAAGGAAATATTATTATTATTTATTAAATAATAAGAATTTTACATGTGAATTAAGATTATCATCTGAATCCATTGTAGATGATGTTGAATGTGTAGTAAATGGTTGACCAATACTCATAACATTATGTAGAAGATCAGTAGCATCTTTTAAATTACTTGCAATATCACGACAAACATTTTGTAATGTTGACCAAGTTAATCGGTAACCTTGTAAAAGAAGAAAATAAAAATAAAGATTATCTGATTGTACTTTCTGTTTACCATGAATAAGTACTTGATGACTTGGTGTACGATGTAATGGAAAATAGACGTACACTGATATATCTATTTCTGGCTGAAATTTTAATTCGCAACCTGGAAATGTAAATGTTTTTGCAAGAGAAAACAAAAGTATACATAAACAATTTGTTAATGATTCTAAATAAATATGACCACCATCATTAGATACTGATGCACATGAATCAGTCATATCAAGAATAAAAGCAAATTTATAACGTGTTGTAAAATAAGAAAAACGTGTTGAATTTGTACAAGTAATAGTTGATGATGATGTTATTGGTGTACCATCATGTTCTAAAGCTGAAACAAGGACAATTTCATCGGATGATTGTGTCTAAAAATAGAAAATTTTATAAATAATAATGGTAATTTAATTAACGAACGATTTCTTCTGATGTTAGAATGCGAACTCGATTTGATGACGATGCAGCAATTTGTTGAAATTGCCAAAGTGCTCGAGTATTTCGTGAAACTCGATAGTTTCGACGAAGAAAAGCAAATACTTGACTGGCATGAATTGGAGTTTCCATATAAATCTAAAATAATATATAACTAGAAAAATATATGATAAATATTTTCCTTATCGTATAATTTTTATATAGTATATTTCGAGAAAAAACGGTGTAAATTCATTTATCTATCTGACATTCATTTAATCAAACTAAAACGAAGTATAAATCCATATTTTACTTTTGTTGATATAAGAACGAATAAACTATCGGTAGTTGTCAGTAGTTATCAATGACTGAATTATCTACTCTGTTAATTCAGAGTTAGTAGGAAGCACAGTTTGACTATACTTGATTTGAGTTCTTCTTTATTTGAATGAAGAATAAGAATATTAAAATTGATTTAGTTTTTGGATTCAAGATAAAAATAATCTCGAAGAGACCGGAAGAAGAATATCCACTGTGCACACAAAAAGAGTCGAACAATTTTATTTTTACTTCCTTATTCATAGTTTTCATAAAAAAAGTTACAGCTACAAATCATTCACCATTATACGAGCGTGGAATTTTCATTTAATATAGTTCATATTTTCAATTATCCTTTACTTAAATCAATTTGTTATATTAATCGAAAAAGTAATCGAGTAAACCATATAGAAACAAAATGCAGCTTCGTTTCATAAATCAAAAAATTTATGTGTGATTTTCTTTATTTAAAATGGAATTTAACTATTGAGAATCAATCATTATTTACGAGTGTCTTTATCTATTGATTATTTAACACAAGTGATCGAAAATAGAAATATATCTATACGAGATAAGATCTTGTTATACACTACATAGATCAAAGAATCAGAAAAATCAATACAACACATGAAATGATTCTCTATAAATAAAAAAATATATCGATTGATCGCTATACTTTTGCTATAAACTACAATCTTTCAGTAGATATGTTATTTGACTCTTCAATATTTATATTTTGTCTTCCTTATCAAACTATTACTTTTGATATTCGACCATCTGTTTCTTCGTACATACATTGATTCACTCATCATTATCGACACTAAATAATAGAATAGAACACAAGACTAATATTATTTTGTTCATCTAATTTGTATATATATTTGACAAAAATGAAGATTGAAAAGATGGAAATGTTTCATGTTAAGCCACGATGGCTTTTTCTTAAAGTGAGTTTATTCTCAAATAATTAAAACTATATATTAATATTGAATGTCTAGATCACATGTGATGATGGTACAGTAGGTTGGGGTGAACCAGTAGTAGAAGGACGTGCTCAAACAGTTGAAACAGCTGTCAAAGTAATTTAATTTAATGAGCAAAACAAAATTTTTCATATAAAGATAATTCCTTTTAGGAAATTGCACGATATTTAATTGGTCAGGTAGGAATTCAACTATAAGGATATGTTTTATTTCTCATATTTTTGAAATTAGGATCCACGAGATATTGAAAAACATTGGCAAATAATCTATCGTGGCAATTTCTATCGGTATATGATTGATTCAAACTTTTTCATAATATATTTCATTTTTGTATAGAAATGGACCTATTTTAACCAGTGCTCTATCAGGTGTTGAACAAGCTCTTTGGGATATTCTTGGCAAACAGTACATTTTCATCTTTTTCTTCTGTCGCATTTTTTATTTTCGTTTTTATTTAGTCTTAATGTACCTGTTTGGCGTTTACTTGGTGGTAAAGTACGTGATCGTATTCGTATGTATGGTTGGCTATCATTAGAACCGACTGGTGATTATATTGATATGTATGCGAAAAGTATCAATGAAAATGTCGAAGGATTTACTGCATATAAAACATGTCCAATTCCACCAATGCAAATGATTGAACAACCAGATGTATTACATGCTATTCGAGATAATATTACTCTTCTTCGAGATAAAGTTGATAAAAAAATTGATGTGGCACTTGATTTCCATGGAAGATGTACACCTGCCATGGTAAGTTTAATTGAGTTGTTATTTATGTTTGAAATAAGATTGATTTTTTTTATAGTCTCGACGTTTAATTCATATGATTGAAGATGTCGATATTATGTTTATTGGTAAGTATTATTGTATAGAACAACATCATAGTCAGGAATAAAATGTAACCATGAAAAATATTTTTTAACACTGATGTTATAGAATTTTCATAACTCTACTTTTTTCTTTAAAAAATTCAGAAGAACCCGTATTACCAGGTGATGTAGCTGCTTTGAAACAGTTATCTTCTTCTACAAGTATTCCTATTGCTGCTGGAGAACGTTTGTTTACACGTTGGCAATTCAATGATTTAATTGAACAACAAGCTGTTGCAATTATCCAACCTGATATATCCCATTGTGGTGGTATTTTTGAAGCTAGAAAAATTGCTTCTATGGCTGAAGCTCGAAATATTGCTGTAGCACCTCATTGTCCATTGGGTCCTATTGCTTTAGCTGCTTCATTACAATTTGCTTCGTGTACACCTAATTTTCTATGTCAAGAACATTTAACATTAGGTCATGATTATTTGAAAGTACCATTTCAAGTAAAAAGATAGAATTCATACATTTTGAATTATCAATTAATTTGTTATATTTAGGTGAAAGAAGGATATGTCGATGTACCATATCTACCTGGACTTGGAATTGAAGTCGACGAAGAAAAAGTACGAGCAGGAATATTTTCAGGTGATTGGTCCACACCACAATTTCGACTTAAAGATGGTAGTTTCGCTGAATGGTAGAACTAATCGTTTCTTACTGCTTGTTTAAAAATATATCAAAGAAAAATTTGTTTGACCAATAAAATCGAAATACAATCTATGCTATACTCGTACATTAAATAATATCTATTCAGGTATTTTAACATTTTTGTGACCATGAAGGTTTTTTGAGAAGATTATGATAGTATTCAATACTATTGATTTTAATGTATATTAATCATAGATAGCTGTTTAAAGTTATGTAATCAGATTTATTTGAAAAAAATCAACTCTGATCTTTTTCTCTAAAATTTTCTTAATCATTACATATTCAAATGTTTAATTAAGTCATTCATTTAGACAGGGAAATAATTCGAAGTTCTTTTTGTTTTTGTTATTTACATACACATATAATATTATGTTCAAGTATTTTATTTACCTTGTTAATCAAAGAACAAGATAATTAATTAGATTGACTATTGAATGACAAATGAATATTTCCAAAGACAATAATATTGTTCATTAATTTTACTCATTTTTAAGAAAATATTAGAATATCATAATTTAGACAAGGATTATCTAGTAAATAAATGTTACTCACTATAATTTTGTTTGATTATCACTTATGTCTTAATAAATGGTAACAAGTTGTCTGGCTTATAAAAGATCACATGTTCATCGAATATTTATTAGCATTGATCTGAATAAATATCTGATAAATGTTATAGTTAAGATTTTCATTAGACATCTATTTGTAGATCACATGTTTAATGAATGTATCTCACGATAGATTCATTCATCAATATGTTTTCTTGTTCAGAAAATCTTTGCCTCAGACAAGAGAACACGAATTTTATAAAAACGGAATATTTTGTATCATATTCTTATTCTCGTATCTGATTCATTGTACACTAAAAGTCATGAGTTTGATATCATTTTGACAGTTTATAAATCTGGTGAATATTTCTGATCACAATTCTATTCATCTACTATGTTTACTTGTTAATATTAAGTGTTCATTTGTCAGTTTAAAAAAAGATAAATGATAATTAAATCCTTACAACGGCAAGTATAATGATTTCATTCATTGCTTTTGTATATGGATGATGACTAGGACTAAATTGATTACACTATTTGAAGTACATATAGCCAATGAATGACGGTAACCATTGTGGTATTCAAAAACTGTGTTACTTTCGAAGTAAAAATCAAATTTCATCAACGAATTGAAGAGTGTTGAGTGATTGAATAATATGAATCACGAAAATATCGTTCTATAACGTTGTTCACCTAAGTAATAAGACTTGTAAAATGACCAACACACAGAAATTGACGCAAGATTAGAACAAGTATGACGCAGATTTTATTTCCATATTTCATTTGAGATGTTGCGAAAGCTGTGTATCAAACAACTAATCGAAGATGATATAAAAAATGACTAGGAGTTTTCCAAAAGTCCCATTTCCAATTCTTGCTCTTAAAAAAAGGCACGTTCAGTTCGATAGATTGATGAAATATCACATAAAAAATAGACAACGATTATCTTTGTAATATTTCCATTGATAATTTTTGCTAACTGGAAAATACAGGTTATCAATTAAATAATGAATAACTGATCACATATTAAATGAAGAATGTTAAAAATCATTTTGTTCAAAATCTATATTGATTTTGAAAGATAAATATCCGAACAAGTTATGATATACATAGAACTTAATTGATGATCAATTATTAACCAATCAAAATCGCATTCAGCTATTTCGTTCACTATCAGCCAATGGTTTCTAATGAATACACTATATTCGAAATTATGTATTAGATGAACGTATTCGATTGCATTTGCCAAAACTTTGTTCAGCTATTTTGTTTATTTTGTACCATTGAGATTACGTAGTTTGTAGAAGAGATATTACACAAAATAAAGACAGATATTACACTTAAGACATGCCCGACCACCAAGATCATTTTCGCTTCTTTCGTTCATTGAGAAGTAAAAGATTTGTATATAATCATGTAAAAAAGTTTTATATAGTAAATGAATAACTGTAACAAACACTTTATTCATGTATTTGTTCATTCAAGAAATAAAACTCTCAGTTAGTGATTTATTTAGAGGTTTTATGAGATATGATTAAATCTTAGGTGGTTGTTTTGTAGCAGAAACTACAATCGGTTGTTGCTCTTCTAAATGAAGAATATCATTAGCTTTGAGAATTCAATGTTGAGGTATCATGCCAAAAAAGAATTATATATTATCTATTCCATCCTCAATACTTTTAGTCTACGACTAATGATTCATAATTAGAAATTAAATTTTAGAGAAAAGTATAATTGATAATCTATTGTTTATCTTACCTTCAACTTGCTGATATAGTTGTTGTTGAGTTACCGCATGATTGGATTTTTCTTCGACGTAAATAAGTTGATTCCAAACAATCTGGTTACTTAATTCTGTATGTAATTCAACCAAGACTGGCTTTGTTATATGTTTCAATTCATAATTAAATTCATTGAGCTTATACTTCAATTGTTTTAAATCAGCCTCGATAAAATTTTCTGTTTCTCTTAAATTCGCTAACTCTTGTGAAAATCTTTTAAAATCATCGCTAAGTTTCGTTCGTTTCGAATTTACTAATTGGCTAACTTGTTGTCGAGTATTATCAGCAACTATTTTGATTTTTTCAATCATCATATATTCCCATTCATTAATCTGAGCAATAAGTGGATTATGTATATTATGACGTTGCGTAGCTTTGTCAATTTTATCCAGGAGACTATTACGACGTGCAATTACGGAAGCCATCTCATTGAATAAGATTCCACGATGAATGTTAAAGTCTTTCGTACAAAAATACCTATCACATCCTGTACAATAACTTGTTCCAAGTTGTTTTTGACACATGCAACATCGAGTTTTTGTTTTTGTCATTTCTAAAAGTATTATACAATAGAATTTTATTCATACGATGAATTACATGGGTTATGAGGATTCACCGACATAACTAGTATATCAAGTTCATCAATTTTAAGATAATTCTCGCTTACTTGAGAAACTGATAAAATCAGCAATGGTGTTGCTTTTCAATTACGATAGTGAAATGAAGAAGGTAAAAAAAACAAGTCAAGTTCGATATTTTTTCTTTGACGACTGATGCGTTCTTTCTTTGGCTTCACGTAGTGATTGAAATATGTTGAGTGGCAGCATTGAAATTATAGCTCACGAGATGGTATTGATTAAAAAAGAAACCTTTAATTTCATCTGTACACGTATTTCGTACTTTTTTATATCAAGAACATAACATGAAGCTTAATAATAAAATATGAAAGAAAAAATATAAGTAAATCAGATACTTCTTTAAGGACATAATATAATTAAATTGAAGTTCAATCGAAAATACTTTAAGTTTACAATTGATTATTAACCTGAGATTTATATGCGTAACGCAATACAATGAAATTTTTGTAAGTTGGTAGATAAGAAATGATGAGATGGACCCATATAGCAACTGTTTGAATATTATACATATTTTATACTAGCAATGAAAGGGTGTGTACTGATGAGCAAGTTGATTGACAATGTTTTGGTCGCATAATCACTTTCACTGACAAACTAACAAATTTTAAATATTACATGCCGATAGCGTATGTGAAGGAAGTTTTTTTAATTTTCAAGGTATGTGAAATTTAGGTATAAAAATGATTCTACTATTGTAAGAACAAAACTTGATGTTGCTCGGGCCAAATGAAAGAGGGTACATCCAAACACTAATCGATTCGAAGAATACTATGTTTTGTTCTTAGAATAGTAGAATCATTTTTATACTTATATTTCACATACCTAAAAAACTAAATAACTTCTTCCACACACGCTATCGGCAAGTAATATTTTAAATTTATTAGTTTCTTAGTGAAAGTGATTATTTGACTGGAACATTGGCAATCAACTTGCTCATCAGTACACACCCTTCCATTATAAGTCTGTGAATAATAAGGCTTTTATATTACTAAAATTGATTCGCACACTGATTTGTTTGATAAAGACAAACAGCAGAAAAATACAAAACTTACTGACTGAGTTTTTTCCTGTTCTATATTACCATATAGAAGTTTTGTATTTATTTTTGAGACACTATCTGCAGCAATATTTGCATCATTTTATTTTGTATTTTCTTCAATTTTTTATTCGGTCACTGACAAAAACTTTAGACTAAATAATCAACGTCTACAAATTGAAACCTCTTCTATAAAAACAATAGTATTTGTTATGCAGAAGTCTGCTAGGTCAATAATTACATTTCACTACAAAATAAATCAAATTTTGGAAGATATTTTGCTTATTATTATTCGTATACCTAGAATATATAGTGCACTTTGAATTTATGGATACAACTAAATTAAGCAGTTTGATGTTGGCCACTAAAAAGCACTAGACAAAATGATTATCCTTTCGCTTAATAACAAAAGAACGAGCCTTATTGTTCTAATAAAATTCATTAAGAGTTATTAATATTTTAGCTCACCTACGCTGAAAGTGTGTGTGCCGGTACTGAAGAATTTTGCGAGATTTATATTACAATACAATAGATTATATTGAAAAACGAAAAATATCTGTCAATATTTATTAAAGGTATGATATAATCACTCATATTATCTCAATATGAGATGAAAGAATATAAATAATTTGCTAAAATTTCAAACGTATATTCATTTTCAATCTATAAAATTACACATATTTCATTCTATTGATCATTTTTTCGTATAAGAGAAAAAAATACAATGAAAGTTTCCCATCAATAACTTCTTTCTTTCTTTCTTATAAAAGAAACGATGATTCATATGTCATTCAACTGAACTAATCGTATCATTCGTTTTTCTTAATTCATATAGAACAGTGATTCTTTATATTCTTAGTTGTTTATACGAAATGAATTTTTCTTAGATTTAGTAATATCATCATTAAAAAATCATGCATGCTAGTCAGAAATTTCAAGGTGCCAAACCACCTCGGTAAATATTCGAATAATTTGTTGAAAACTTCATTTTTTATTCGTATATATTCAGCATTCCTACTCGATCGGCTCTTGTTCAACAACCAACACAAATTGCACCAGTTAAACGATTAGCAAGTAATACACCAGTAACGAAAACAAGAGCTTCAAGTATGGTTAAATCTCAATGTTAGTTTATTTCTATTATTAAATTGAATATTCTTTTTAAAATATTTATTTATTTTCAGCTGCATATAATATTCCAAGAGCATCTACTGTAACGGCTACTGCTCCACTTGTTTCACAAATGAAAAAAGTTTGTTATAGAAAAATTTATAAAAACAAAAGATTTTTTTTCTCAAGTCAATTAGCGAACAAGATCTTGTTAATGTTGTATCTCGAACTCAAAAATCTCGATTTGGATTTGTTAAAAAACCCGGTGAATTAGCTGGTGATAACTGAGTTGTTTTTTTTTCTCTTTCAATTCTTTCTATTTTAAATTTTATAGCTGTTCGAGAAGATGCTCAATATATATCACCAGCAAAACCTACTGCTCCATCACGTGTTAGTGGTGCTTGGAAGAAAGTTTGTATTTTATTATCAAAAGAAAATCTTCATACAAAAATCTTTTAGAATGGTGAAGATTTAGCTGATGAACGTGATCGACGTGAACTTATTCTTGCTCAAAATGAACTTTTACAAATAGTTTTTACTAATCAATTATTCAATGAAATAGTTCAATCAAATCGACAGCAACAAACTGTAAAAACAACATGAATAAAACTCTAAATTTAATTCTTGAAAAATATTTAGGCTCGCTTCGGTAAATTACATCGTGCTGCTTATCGAATAATAAATGATATTAATACTTTACAAGAGACACGAAAAAAAGCTGTTGTAGATAAAATCGTTGGAAATATTATTAAAAATTTAGTTCGTTCTTTCTTAAATTTATTTTATTTATTAATTATAAATATTTAGGGAGATACATTAAGTAAAATTGTTCGTTTATTTAATGATTATGATCAAAAACAACAAACACTTGATATATGTCTTTCAAATAAGCTCGATCGTCTTAATATTCAATGTCTAACAAATGATATTACAGATGAAAATAAAGGTATTCGATTTGAAATAAAATACTTTAGTAAATTATCTTTTTTACAGAAAATTGGAATCGTATATGTGAACAATTAATTGAATTAATTGAATCAAATGATTTAGCACAAATGAATACAATGGATTTAGAAACTTATTCGAAATTAATTCTTGAACTTGATTCAACTATAAATTCATTTAAACAAACAATTTCAAAGTAAGAATATTTTTTTTTCTAGAAATTTTATTTGAGAATTTTTTGTTTTTTTATAGTCATAAACATGTGGTAGCCGCAAGTGAAAAAGCTATGTTAGAAGTATCTGTTCGGCTTATTGATCAATATAACAATAACAAAAAATAATATTTATGATTATCATCTAATTCTGAACATTTGATAGATTTTTTCTTCTTAAATATAATATTTGTCATGAATTTTCTTAATAGAGAATAAAATATAATAAAATCCATTTAAAACTGCATGCACAATATAGTGGCGCCCTCTGTAAACAAAAAACATTTTACTATATGAAAATCTGATATTTATCTGAGGAAATCATCGTATATTATTAAGAAATTTTAATTAAATTTACGTTAAAATGTAAAATTTTGTTATTTGTATTTTGCGTAATATAAAGAGGAAATTATAATCATTGGATTTTATCCATCAATACAGCTGCTGTTTATATTTCATTATTTTTATTTCTATTTAATTCAATGGAGATGAATTCTAGTAACTCATCAAAACGTTTTCGTACTGAAGATTCTTCGATTAATTCGAATTGTTTTTTATCAGACGATCTTATTTTTTGTCCATTTTGTACATTTAATAGCAATTCACAAGTTGATATCGATTTTCATAATCATATTCATCATCAACATCAATGTTCTCAATGTTTACATATATTTCCTAGTTATTTTCTTCTTGAACTTCATATGGATGAAATACATAATACATATTCAACAATTCAATCATATCGTTGTTTGATTGAAACATGTTCGAAAATATTTTCTAATATTGATCAACGTTCTCAACATATAAATACGGAACATTATACAAAAAATTATTCTTTAAATAAGATATATTCATTATTTTCAAGTCATGAACAATTAATTAAAATGAAAAACAATGATAAAGATAAGAAATTTGGTTGTGATAGTCAAAAAACATTTTTACGTAATTCACGTTTAAAACCACGAGAATTTCTTCCTTCACATTGGGATGGTAATGATGAATAATAGAATTTTTTGTTATTGTTATTCTAGATTCTTAAACGTCACCCATATCATCATGTCGGACACCGAGATGGACGAGACGCCACGCGCCTCGGATGAAGTCGACTTGAATAAGTCGTTACAGGAAGTACTTAAATCAGCTGCACGTAATGATGGTCTTGCACGTGGTTTACGAGGTAATATCATTATGATATTTTAATAAGAAAAATATTTTTTTCTTTCAATTTTTTAGAATCAGTCAAGGCCTTAGATCGACGTGAAGCTCACCTTTGTGTATTAGCATCAAATTGTGACGAAGCCAATTACGTTAAATTAATTGAAGCATTATGTGCTGAACATAATATCAATTTATTACGTGTTGATGATAATAAAAAATTAGGTGAATGGGCTGGTTTATGCAAATTGGACAAAGATGGCAAAGCACGAAAAGTAGTTCGTTGCAGTTGCTGTGTTGTTCGTGACTTCGGTGATGAAACACAAGCTCATGATCAATTAGTTGAATACATGAAGAAAAACAAACAATAAGCATTGAAATTGATCATACAGGAAAAAAAAGTCATATATGCTTTTTTGTTTTTGAGTTGGTTTATATAACCAACAAATATTTTACATCAATAAAATAAAAAGAAGAGAAAAATTGAAATCTATTTAATTATATTATTCTATATTTAAACAAATATTGAGATGAAATAAATTTTGAATTAAAATAATACGTGACGTGAGGTTTTTCTGTAATCATTGAAATCAAAACATATTTCGGATCATTATAATGAATCGCTTATGCAATGCTATATATTATATTTTAATATATCTCGTAAATCGTCTCCATTAATTGCTTTAGTCAATCATACCATAAATGAAAGTGTGTACTAGTTCCTTCTTTTTGAAAATGTATATTGATTTGACGATCAAATAATTCTATACAAAAGGTATAATTCAATACTGAAATTAATGAAATAACACGAAAAACGTTTAGCAAAATTTAGAAGAATTTTTGAACTTATTCTTCGTCTCTAATTTTGAGAAACTATTTATACATTAATCATATTAATGAAAGAAAAATTCAATGAAAAAAACTAGAGTGCAATAGATCCTAGTGAATATTTACGTAATACTTTAATTTACAAGTAACGCTCGTCTAAGACTCGCTTAGCTCTTTCCCGTAGAAATGGTATTCTACAATGCTACGGGACCTTTTCCTTACATAACTTGCAAACACTAACATCAGATTCGTGTTCCCCGACCTGAAAAACCGTTTCGTCAAATTTTATATCAAAAAAAAAAATTTTTCGTAAAAAAATGGGCCTTTGTCTAAAAAACGTTTTTTTAAAGAATCTTGAAAAACTAACATCAGATTCGAAGTCCTTGCATCGGAATACCTCTAGAAATGTCGTTTTTGAAAAATCGATTTTCGATGTTTTTTTGACCCTGCGGACAGACAGGCAATCAAACAAACAATTTATGTTTACTAGATTCTTCTCTACGAGAAAGAGAATAATACATCTTACAAAAGATGGATTAGAAAATTTGTTCGAATTCATTGAGAATTATCAATGTCTGAACCTTCTACATTTTACAGATCTACTCTTTGATAATTCTTTCAAGCACATAACTTTCATTTTGTGTTTTTTTGTAATATAGATTTATTTTTTGGTTTTACTTTCTATATAAACGTATCTGAAGCTTAAGAAAAAAAACGAAAACTAAAATTTCAATCAACAAAAAAAGGCAAAAACAAGTGTAAAATAGATGAAAAAAATAACACTAATAACAATGAGTGCAGACAAAAACGACATTGACTGTTTTGTTCTATGGAGTAGGAATAATAATTGAACTTTGGTGTATTTCTTCTAATATACTGTCGGCACCCATTTGCATGAGTTTCACTGCAAGATTTGTACCACATAATTCCGCATTTTCTAATACTGTTTCATCTATATTCACACCACATACATGAGCATAATGACGAAGCAAAGGTACACCTTCTGCTGTTGTTGTTGTTGTCGTTGTTGATGATGATGATGGTGATGCTATTGTTCCTATTGTTAATGATGGAGTTGTTGATGAAGTTGCTGAAAGTGGTGGTGAAGGTGGTTGTATTGGCGCTGGTGGAGGAGTTAGCACGGAATCAATATCTGATTCAGTCCGTTTTCTTTTTAAATTCGATCGATTTAAAGATCCATTCGTTGATTGTGTTTCATCGTCAAGTGATAAAAGTTCATCATCTGAATGCGAAACTAAAAATGTTGTTGTCATTGGTACAGTTAAATCAGAATTCTCAACATGATCTTTTACAAAACGTGATCCATCAAGATTAAGTAAAATACCATCCATAATTAATCCTTTATCATTATACACCGTACGTACGGCATTCGGAATACTACAACCACCGCCAACTATAAATTAAAAATACAAATATAATTAGATTACACGTATAATAAAATTTTATATTACTTCGTCTTAGAAAGGCTCGTTCTGCAATACATCGTAGAACAGTTGGTTCATGATTCAGTACAGATAACATTCGAATAGTATCAATATCATTATGTCGACATTCAATTCCTAATGCACCTTGTCCAATTGCATAAAGAACCCGTTCAGGTTCAATTATTTCACTAATTCTCTCTGTCCATTTTAATCGTTGTAAACCAGCAACAGCTGCAATCATTGCATCATATCCAAGTTCTCGATTATTTAATTTTTCCCAACGTGTATTCATATTTCCACGTATATTTTTATATATAAATTGTGGATAATTTAATTTCAATTGTGCTATACGACGTGTTGAACTTGTACCAATAACACTACCATGTGGTAAATCATTTAAAGAATTTTTTTTATGCCATGGAGCAATAACAACAGCATCACGAGGATCAGCACGTTCAAGTATTGCACCAATGATCATATTTGGTGGTAAAACAGTTGATGGAACATCTTTTAATGAATGAACAACAAAATCAATATTATTTCGATCAAGTTCAACTTCAAGTTCTTTAGTAAATAAACCTTTATCACCAATATTTGCAAGTGGATCTAACAGATTTTTATCTCCGATAGTTTTAATTTTAATTACTTCATAATCAATATGCGGATAAAATTTATGCAATTGTTCGATAACACTAAAACGAAACAAAAATTAAATAAAAACAAAAATCAAATAATTCAATTTACCTTTCAGTTTGAACAAGGGCTAATTCACTTTGTCGAGTGCCAACCTTATATTTTGTTCTTAATGGCACATACTGCATAATAACTAATTTATCTTAATACAAACTTTCTAATTTTTAAGAGATTTTTATCTAAAAACAAAAATAGATAAGTTTGTAGACGATTCGAAGACGAATGAATTGATTTCAGATAAGCACTTTATATATAGAAGATAATAATACTCTCTCGAATATTATGTCTAAAGAAAAAACGAAAGTATTGAGTTCAAATATATATCTGTGTCATAGATAGAATGTATATTTTTATACATCCAGGCATTTATAGTTTTGTACTGCTGTAAAATACTTGTGTTTATCAAAATACTTTTCTAGTCATGAATTTAATAGAATATTCTACACTCGTCTTTTTTTCTTAATTATTGAATCACGTAGACAAATATAAAAAATATGTTTTGAAGCATCGAATAATGATAAAAAAAAGAAGAACGTGTAATAAGAAATTTTAGTTATCTAGTCGTTAATAAAATTTGTTATGTTGATGATATCTTTTATAGAATCAATTGGTATGCTCTTTTTTAACCATAGATAACATAAGATTAAGATAAAGAAAATGAATTATATAAAGAAAGAGTTTTTACCATTTGAAATACTAATATGTTGATAAACGAAATTTTCATCATACCAACACGTTGTGTTTTTTTTAATATTATTAATCGACTACTCTATAAATGGTCCCAGCATGATATACAAATCGTACTTCTGTAATCAGGTCAATCTATGATCCATTCTTCACCAATGAATAAGTTAGATCTAGCTATATAAAGCGGCCTCATCAGATACTAAACATGATGCCGCCACATATAGGAAAACAGTGTTTCAGATTATGTATATGATATAATCCACTAAGAATAATTTGTCTGTTCTATACATGCGGACGCTAGAAGAAACGTATTCTTTTTCTTTTGAAATATACATACGTTATTTCGTATACTTCAAATTGTTTGAAGGGAGTCAACTCGATTGATTATAATCCAAAGAAATTAGAATATCTTATGTAGATAATATGTTTAAAGAAACTAGAAAGATAGACAACCCTGCAGTCAATGTTATATACATTGTTGAGAAGATTAAAGCTTTTGTACTGTAAAAGGATGCATTGCCGATATAAATCTCATCTGTTTGTAACTTAAGGTGTTTTTACATTGACTCTATCTTATTTTTATTTCATTCTCTTGTTCTACAAGATTATATCTGAAAGCGTAATTGACACATCGTTTTAATACAAACATTATAAATAAACTAAAATAATCTTTTTTTTTCATATTAATAACCATATTAAGAAAAAATAATTTAGAATTTAATTCTAATGTATTTTCGATATTCGAATCACCATATATAATTTTCAACTATTTTTGCTAGATTATTGAGTAAAATTTGATCTTATTTTGTCCTAATATTTATCAGGAAAACACATCATTCTTTTTTCAATCGTCAATATTGGGTCATATTCTCTAGATCATCTTATTCAATTGTATCCAATAACAAATCAATTATTTATTCGTCATGCTCATGATAAACTTGACTGGAGTCAGAGAATTGAGAACTAAGTTTTATATAGATTATAATATTTATAACAAAATGCAATCATCTGTAAATATAGTGTTCAAGTATTTGATTATATCGTTTTTTTTAGAAGTGATAAGTTCATTTTCCATCAATAAGAATTCTTAATGTAATAAAAATCTCAAGATAGAAAAACAACAACATACAAATAAGTTAACTTGTCATTGAATATATAGAATATGTATGCTTTTATAATAAATGTTAAGTTAGCTTTCAACTCGCATCCGGTTTCCTAGCATGAACATGTTCATACTCGCACGAGAGAGCAATTGAATCGTTTAAATAGACGAATCAGATTAACAGTAGTAGTAGTAGTAGAAAGTAGTGTATTCATCACACAGGAAGTCAATAGAGAGTGAGCCTCAAGCTGTAACATGCACGACATATACACATACATAGACATGTTTTCCTTGTATTTCCACTTCATTTGTGATAGTGCTGGTATATTATTGCACACACACGTTTGTCACGGAAACTAGCATAGGTTAACTTCCGTATAAAAAGTTGTTGCATTTGATTTAAAAAGCCGCTCACTAGAATAATTCATGCACGAAAAGTAAGCAGATGTTATTCTTCTTTTCCCACTTCATCATCATCATCATAGAGAAACAACGTTCGGTTTTCAATGTTTCTCTTTCTCAAAAGCGAGAATAAAGAAGAGAAAGAGAGAGAGAGAAAAAAAAACATATATAAATATATATATATATAGACATATACAAGTAACGGATATTCGAATTACGCTCGATGTCATCACTTCCTCAATGTATGTCGATTAGTCTCTCCATTTTCTTCTAAGTGGAATACATTCTTTTGCTTATCATGAATCCCTATTGGGTGTTGAAAAAAACTTTTGCTTTTTCATTGGTCTATATAAGAGAAAATAAGCGAACTAGAGTGAGAGAAAGAGAAGAGCAGAATATTAGCTTGTTTTCCGGCAGACGATTATATTTTTTTTAATTCTCAGTTTTCATGTGTTAATCAACATCGATTAATATATTCAAATGAAGAATTTTTCTGTACAATATCTACTTTCACATATTGATAATAAAAAAGATGTTGTATCAACATCAGCAACACCAACAACAACGACAACAATATCGAATACATTAAATGTTAATTCATCCGATGATGTTGGTAAGATGAGAAAATATTGTAAAGACACGAAAAAAAATCTAGTTGTTCTTTTCTTTATATAGAAGATGATAATCATTCATCTGTTTCATCATCTTTTTATGATTCATCAAATGATGAAGATGATGAACAGGCAACATCAAATAGAAATCCTCTTGATAGTGGTACAACATCAGAAGATAGTCAAACATCAAAATATCTTCAACAAGAACATAATAATCATCATCATGAAACATCAAAAAGACGTAAACGACGAGTTCTTTTTACTAAACAACAAACATTTGAACTTGAAAGACGTTTTCGACAACAACGTTATTTATCAGGTAAGAAAAATTCTTTAAAAGATTATTTTTATTTTCATTTTCTAGCACCAGAACGAGAACATTTAGCTAGTGCAATTAATTTATCAGCTACACAAGTTAAAATCTGGTTTCAAAATCGTAAGTAGAACATAGATTTTTTCAAAAAGAGAAAGAAAATAGTACTACTAATTCATATTTATGTAAATATTTTAGATCGTTATAAAATGAAACGTTCACGACTTGACAAAAGTAAGATATAATTGCCTTCATGTACTTGAGAGTTAAGTTTTTTTTTCTTTCTTTTGTTATTAAAGATTTAATTGATACAACAATATCTTCACCTCGACGTGTGGCAGTCCCAGTGCTTATTCGAAATGGTCGACCATGTCATCAACAGCGTTTTTCTCTCCCATCAACATCAGCAGCCGTTTCAAATCAACATATTCATGGTCAGTCAACAACAAACAGTAACAGCTCATTAGTCGTAACATCATCATCATCATCATGCAAGAATGATATTCCTAATATACTATTTAATGACAGACAACATATGAAATGTGACAATATTGATTTATTCCAACAGTTTATTCTTTCACAATGGGCACTTTCAAAAAAAATATTTTTTCCAACAACAAGTTAATTAAAGATTTCAAATAAAAGAAAGATAACAGTTACTAAATAGTTGCCATAAAAAATTATCTTTAAGAGTTTGGATTTTTCCTTTTTTTTTTTCGTTTGTGTTTTACTAGAAATTTTATATTATTATTATTATTATTATTAACCAAAAAAATCTATTATTTCATCATTTAATAAAAAAAACAAGTGTCATCATTGGTATAACATTTATATTTGCTTTAAGTGATTCTTCATTAAAAATAAAAACAGTTCATTATATTCATAGAAATATTGTCTAAATTCTCAATGTGAACAAATCAATGTAAGCAAGAGCTAATATTATAGATTAGTGTAACATACTTGATCTTAGGGCTAATTTCTTCACTTATCTTCAAGGATCTTCTGTTCATGTACATATACTTGAGTTCCTGAGATTTATCACTGACTTTCGATATGTTCGTTGTAATTACTAAAAGACTCATAAGCACGATAGATTGCTTTTTGTTTCGTTATAATTAAGTTTCATGACTTAGAACAAGATAACTTAAAATAGTAATATCATACACGTAAAAACATGATTCAAAAATTATCGAATTAGTAATATTTAATTCTTCTATTCTTATTTCCTATCACGCAAAGATAAAATTTAAATCTTTATATTATATATATATATATATATCGTTTCCGATTTATAAGCATAGTTCCGTATGCATAAGAATGAAATAGTTTTCTTTTTGTAAGAGATTATTCAAAAGAAAACATTGACTAAACGGAAACACAGAAATATTTAACATAACATGCTATGTAATATAAAAGAGATGATAACAAAAGATGTGAAGATAGCATCATTATGTAACGGAAATATAAGATATCCGAGAAAATAAAGTAAAAACCGATATAATTTTAGTACTAAACAGTTCGTTCATAGGTCACTGACTTTTATTTTTTTCATGTCAAGAGATAGTACTTAGTTTATAAACAGAATATTGAATTCCAAAAAGCACTAGAAATCTATCTGGTTTCTTCCATATATATAATACAATCAATTAACTAATCAGTTAATCTAAAGTTGAAACTATTACCATTTATTGTTTCTTCGATTTATAGTTAAGATTTGTATCATACATTTATTATATAAATATCATCCCACTGTAAATCTCAGATGTCACCGTAGAAAAATGCTAAGAGTTAAATAGGCACACTTTTTTTACTTTTTTAAGCATAGTACAAAATTGAATATTAGAGTGCTGACTATTTCTCTCGTATAATGAGAAAAAGAACAACTAATTTAACACAAATTATAAAAGTAATCACAGCAATTCTATCGTTTATGCTGATATTTTTCTGTCTATTCTTCTTAATAGAAAATTAAAGTGAAAAAAATTGTCTAGCCTAAATATGGTGTTTTTAATGATGTCAAGCCAATTTTATAGATCTCATGAAGATACATAATTCTTTGCAATCTGCTGAATTACCGTAATAAATTCCATCAAAACATAAACTATTCAAATGATACTTTTAGAAATAACTTTATTATTAACTATTACATCCAAATTAAGTCAATAATCATATCTCTGTCATTGGTGAAATGATACCCATTATTATCTTCTTGTTTTAGTCAGTGCTTGAATATAGTTATCGTTGGTATACTTTTACTGAAACTATACAATCTTAAATTTAACAACAATGATATTGGTGCGATACAGCTTCTGAATGATTAGAAGACACTAAAAATGAAATTAAGACATTTTTTTTTCATATGACTAAGCTACACATAACGTATCAATTAAGCTAAGATAACCTTCATGCAGTTTATATATATATAAATAATGTCTCGATTACCTTTTGTTGTTAAATATCAGACGTGCAAAATTAAAAAAAAGAACTAAATGTATACGTAATTAGAGTAATAAAAGTATGATGATGCGTACACATAGTATAAAATAAAAAAAAAGAAACAGAAGGTTGCAACAAGTTACAATAATTAAGCAACTGAGCTCAACAAAAAAGACTAAAATACAACCTTGCGTTTACTTTTAATTCAAAAAAATTAGGATTTTCAATAATCATGTTTTATCAATTGTAATATCAGCATAATTATTGTTTTCTTTCTCGTAGAGAAGAGTGCAGTAAACATAAACTGTTTGTTTGTCCGCAGGGTCAAAAAAACATCGAAAACTGATTTTTCGAAAAAGACATTTCTAAAGGTATTTCTATGCGGGGACTTCGAAGCTGAGGTCTGTTGGGTGACCATAGTGAGGGGGGCGAGTGAGGTCAGAAAAACATCGAATATCGATTTTTCACGGTTTTCAATTGTTTTTTCAGTAAATGTGAAGAGGATGCATTTCTACGAGAAAGAGCTAAGCGAGTCCTCGAACGAGCGTTACTTGTATTTATAAATTAGTATAGGAAGATTTTTTTGCAACAGAAAGTAGCCTAGTATTTCACTCATTATCACTCCACTTAAATATCGCAGGACGATGGTTCCTGAAGCAAGATTCCATGAATCCGATGGAGAAGTGAGGTAACCGTATCCGGTCGCCGGTTTTAGCATGTTCCTGTCGATTTCAGCTCAAACCAGATAAATCGGGTCACCGGATCCGTTCAACGGAAATACTGCTTCCATGAAATCTCTGGAATACCATGGAACCGGCCGTTTCCGTGCCGGATTGTTCGATCTGGGTATTGTATGCAATACAAACTATTTTCTCATGTTTATTTATTTATTTTGGTTTTATCCAATGTTCGTATGTTGACGAGCAATTGTTTGCGTATTTCGAAATTAGATAATGATTTACCAATACGAGTATCATCAGCAATTAATGTAATCGGATTCGTCGGACGTTCACCTGAAGCGTTCGATCTGGTAATCGACCCGCACTTCTCATCGTATTTACCGTTGGTTACAATTGAATCGTTTAATGGTAAAAAGCCTGAGCAGTTACTGACAATGTATCAATTCATGAACTGCACTGGTACATTACGCCTCATGGATCACAGAATCCTTTATATTGCTACACCGGCAACATATAGATTCAGTGGGGGCTTATGCTTTATTCCAAAATATAATGATGAATGGCAATTTATCGGACTATTAACTGGTGCTTCCAGATTATGAAACAAATGCATACTATTACAACAATCAACTATCTTTATTTCTTATTATAATGGTCTAATTGAACAAGAACTGAATTTTGACTAAACTCTTTTTTTGAGTTTGTATCATAATAAAAAGTTATTTAATAAATTTGAACACTTTCGTAAAAAAAATATATTAAAGTCAAGATACTGATCTATCTTATTGAACAAATAAGCTATCTTTTTTTTTGTCAAAATTTTACAACGATACGTTTATTAGACTTCCATCTCATGTGCAATATTGACCTATCTATTATCAATGATTTGCATTTTCAATCAACCGAAGGCCATGAAAACTAATGTAGATATTTCTGATTTGATAAAATTATTTATGATTGTTGAAGAAGCTCATATTCGAATCAATTCATTTTAATAATCATTTCCTAAAAATAAAGTTCACCAGCGCATTCCAACTTATACCAAAACAAATCTACTTAGTCTCAAATAATTTGATATCTTAATTATTCATATTCATCTTTACAAATGAGAGGTGCGTGAATACGTGTATCCACATATATACTTCAAATAAATCAGCCCCTTCACCCACATTCGCATTGACCTTAAGCTCAAACGCAAACCCACAGTCACACTCACCTGTTGTTTTATTAATTTTGTTTTTTTTTGGTATTTTTCTTTCTTTCTTTCTGTGTAGGTTCCTTAGTATTTAACTTCGAAGTAACACCATCAGATACTGATGTATTCAATATCATATACAATCGTTTGATATTTTCATTTGTATTCAAATCTTTTGGATTCATTAACTAAAATAGTCCATTCGATATAAAACGAAATCTTAATTATATTTCCTTTTTTGTTTTACTTTAGATATAAACAATGAACGTGATTTAATATGTAATATAGATTTATATATTTCATTCCAATTTTGATTTTGTATAATATCTTCAATATATTTTAAATTTTCAATAACTTGTAACTGTTCCATATATTTCTTTAATATTGAATTAATTTCTATCAATTGATTATCTCGATTAGATAATAGTTCAAGAATATTTTTATATGATTTATCTAATGAATTACTAATAAAAGATAAAAAGTAATATTTTTTGTTAGAAAAAAAAAATCTAACCGTTTAGTATGAAGTTGTTTTAATGTAGTAATTAATTCAACAGCAGATATATTAAATAAAGTCACTGGTTGATTATTAAGATGACCTTGCATAATAATTGGTTGTTTAAGATTGTCGTTTGATTGAGATAGAAACCCATTTGATGATAACATTTGATCATGGGTTGGAAATATATTTGTTTTATCTGATATATTCTGCAGGACGTAAGAATGAACTTGATGAGTTGTTGGTGCATTATTATTGTAGTTTAATAAAGATAATACATTTGGTTTATTGGCTGAGAAATATGTTTGTTGATATTGTTCAAGATATTGAACACGAGACGAATTTTCTATATGACAAGTAAAAATAATATATAATTAATCTAATTGAACTTGCTTTGTTCTTGTAATAGACTCGATTCATCTGTACATGTTGAATTTGTCATTGTTGATAATATTTCAGAACAACAATCATCATTATCTGCATATGATTCTTCTTGGTTATACTACTTTGTTAATAAATAAATCAAATAAAACTACCTGCCTATATATTCACTTTGATCTACTCGATGTGATTTACGTAAATTATTAACAATAGCTAAAAGTTGAATTTGTTTTTGATTATTTTTCTTAAGTTCTAATTGAATATTCGAAATTTCTGTTCTTAAATTTTTTATTGTATTTGATGTTATCGGTTGATGTATTTTCATGAATTTTCAAATGATTATCATTTGATCAAAGAAATGTATATGTACATAGTTAGAGTACTAGCGCGAAAAATATGAAAAAAGAAAATTTTATTGAAAATATTTTACTAGAAACAGAAAAAAATTTAATTTATCGAATACAAAAATAATGTGGGGGATATTTTGGTTCAGCACGTCGATTAGCTCGTCCAGATGTACGTGATAATGGTTGTGTTGGATAATTTTGTTGTGGAGCAAATTTTGGTATTCGAGCAATTATTGGTTGTGTCAATTTTTTTTCTTGTTCACTATCCAAAACAGTTGATTGTGTTTGAATTATTTCTGTTTGCTGTTCTTTTCCATCTTCATATATAAAATCAGATTGTTTTAAAAATGCTGGTGGTTGAAGAATATGTAAAATTTTTGGTGTAACTCGTGGACGTTGACGATTTTGAAAACGAGAAACTGTTCGATGTAATGAAAATGGTTGTTGAAATGGAAGTGTTGGAGCTGTTCGATGTGCAAGACTGACGAAAGGCATTTTTATTAAAATGAAGTGATTGTAGGCAGACAGTTATCGTTATATAGTACTTACCTTGCTCTGTCTACTATATATGGTAGTTATATCTTCATCATATCGCCCGTGGAAAGAAAAGCTTGACAAGTTCAAAGGACATCATGCGTGACAATGTCATCAGCATATTACATACTACGAAAAAAAAAATCAATGACACATATTTATTGATATTTATATATATGACATATCTTACACAAGATTATCAATAAATACAATGAGAAGAAAGAATGTTATATTTAACAGTGTATAATTGAAAAATGTTTTCATATAAATAATATGTTTATAAGAATATGTTTCAATTTAGTTCGATAAAATTGAAAAATCTATTAGTTGGATTTGTAAATTCTTCAATTCAATTAATGAAATCAATTTAATTTGATATAATCTTTATTAAGAGTATTTTCAATAGAGATTGATAAAAATTCTATAGATTCATTATCAATGAAATTAGATTGTATATCTATCTAATGTATACAAAGATATACATAATAAAAATAATACTAACAATACATAGCTTGTACCAAGGTAATATGGATTTAATAAACAAAGATGTTATGTAATCATGAAAATAACTTAAGTATAATACTTTAATAGAATAATGCAGAACACGTGAATGTGGGTGTTATATTGATAATTTCTATACTTGTAGATTATATCAATTTGAAGCTATTTGTTCATATTTAGAATAATTTTGATTATGTTTATAGATATATAGTGATATATTATCAATTACCTATGTTTCACATACGATATGTCAGGGTTACCCAATTATTCGTTTTTATCTAGTACATTCCTCTTTAGTTTTGATACGTTACAAACAAATTTCATTAGATTATATGTATATTGAAATATTCGTCTAATTAATTATTTTCGTACATGTTTATTTCAAATAAATAAAAGTGTATGTGATATTTTTTTTCTTCACATAATACTTATTCTAGTGAGAATATTTTCTTCTTTTTATATTAAAAGAAAGGAAGTGTGAATAAGACTTGAACATATAACAAAACATTCTTTCTCGTTTATATTAAGTAAATAAAATCAACCTTCGTTTTTTATTCGAATAAATATATCTCACACATATTTAATTTCTTAAGTAAATGATTATATAAAAACTATCATTGTCGAATATTTCCTTGATAACAAGTGATTAAAAACTAACAAATTATTGAAGAATTTTTTTGTATTTCTAAGAGATATTTACTTATGATTAATACGTAAAGGGTGTTGAAGAAAAAGATGAACACGTAGTAAAAGAGATAACAATAATGATCGAATTGATATTACGACATAAGAAACGAAGAAGATGAAGGAAAAAAAACGTATGTCATCTTATGAAATTAAGTAACAATAAAAGAATAAATATCATGCAAAAGTTTGTTTATCTTACGCAATTTACTATTTAAATATCTATGACATTGTTTGAACTTATAGGTGAAAGAAAATATTTCATCGATATAGAAAAAAAACGAACAAATATTCGATTATAGAAATAATTGATAAATGAAGAGCTCTTATATTTTGAGTATGTTTGCTCATATGAAAAATAATTCTGTATATTTATATCGTTACTATTTAGCTTTTATTCATACATATATTTGTTCCGTTGTATATGTATGTTAGAGACGAGAGAGAAAAAAAACAGGCGAAGACATTTACATGAAATAAGTTTGAATTATCGTTTTTTGGCACAAATTGGAATTCATTTTGTAGTTTAATATATCGATGAGTTTCATATTGTGTTAAAATCGATAAATTCAATAATTAATATCATTCTTTTTTTTTAAATATTATGTCATTAAAAATCTTACATAAACGTTTTTTTTTCTCATCTTTGTTTTAGCATCTTTTGTTATGAATTTAATATTAACTATGTGTATGTGTGTTTATCTGTTTATTACTCAACTAAGTGTAAAAAAGACTATGAATGTATTAATTGATGAGAAAGTCACGTTCGTTCTATTTTATTTTCACTAACAGGTGAAGAAAATAATTTAGTTCAACGATCACATACTCATCTATATTTTCATTTATACTTAGAACTGATGAGTAGATGTCTCGAGACATATATATGTCAAAAGGCAGTAGACCGTTTTGTTTAACCAGATTAGGCATTGTCCAAGTATTATTCTTCTATGACAAATATAGAAGCTTACATGTCTCTCTCTTACGAAAAGAACGAATTTGACTTTAAAGGATATACATCTATATGCAGAGTGGACTACTGAGCTCAGTTCAGCTGCTTACATTTCTCTATTGTTACATGTGTAAAAATTTGATCTTGTACAAATATCGTCGTTCAATCAATATAGAATATATATATATCTATATAGTTGCGTCAGCTTAAGAACCATACGATTCAATTATTGAGAATATACAATACAATCTTACAGAAATAACAAGATGATAATAACGATTATGCAGATTGAGACAACGAGAAAGGCATTTAATAAAAAAAAAAAGAGAACTATATTGAACAATAGGAGAGGAGGCGAAGGGATAAAGCATGCCATAGTCAGGATTTAGAGAAAACGAATTAGTAGACAGAGAAAAAAAAAGTGTATACAAATATACAATTTATATTCAATTGATCATTTTTACAACTAACACAATTCTACTTAACAGATATAAAACAAGATACTTTCAAATCTAATAAGAAATAAATAAAATCTTGTTTTATTTTTTTTTTGTGAAACAATGATTACTATTTATTATCAAATATGTCTTTTTCTAAGTAAGTTATCATTTCTTTTGTTTTATATATATATTCATTACGACATTGACACGTATTTATGTGTGGATACATATATTTGAGAAATGTCATTGAAATATCGATCCGTACTTAAACTATGATTGATCATGATCATTCTTTATTGGTCTTATTAGTAAATAACCTTGAAAGAAGAACTTGACATTCGAATATTTTTCTTCAATTAATAATAGAAATGATAATCTTTTCGACTGTAATTTCAACTACCCCATATAGAATCAATAATTATGTATGATAATGTGTATGAACAAGGTTATCTTTTCAAGTACATATTTTATGAGTGACTCTTTTTATATATTTGATTGAGGATTTTAGTCTTTATTTCCTTGTTAATTAATCGAGCAAATAAAACATTCTTGTCAACCTGTATATTCATGAGATACAAATGAAAGACAACTCAGACATTGAAATGATTGATACATAGGCCGCCTAGTTAGAACGTGTATGTAGAAATACTAGTAAGATTGAGCTCGTCAATATTTACATCACGAACTAGATGAGAAAATGCCTATTTGTGGTAATAGTAATGGACACAATCGAAAAAAAGAAGCGAAAGAAGACTAGAGAAATGTATCTGTATTGTGAACACGTTTTGAATGTTAGACGTTTGATCGATAAAAGTGAAGAAGAAGCAGAAACAACGGACATAAAATGTCGGATTAAGGCGGCAACGCCGTGCTACTGAGAAGAACGTGATGTAATTGGAGATCATCGGGTGCGTGAAAGCGAAAAAAAAACGATACAAAATCTAGGTGTTCGCGTATAATTGCTCGGTGACGCGTCACGTACAGAATGTATGCGACATAGAACACTTAGGAATGGTACGGGAAGGTCAGTAACGAAAGACTTAAGCAACAACGAAGAAAGAATCACCACGAACATGAAATTCTTCTTCTTACGTCTCTCCAATTAATTTCTCTTGTTTCGCTTTAATCCTTCTTCTCTCACTGTACTAAGAAGAACGTAGAGAGAAGAAGAGAAAGAGAGAGAGAGAGACAGGGAGAGAAAGAAAAGAGTTAACTAGTTGGTGGTGGTATTTGACAGTGAATTAAAAGAAGTGACTTTACCATTGGAATTTAGTCGACTAAGGAGTAGGCGGTAGAGATAAGATTGAGAGAGAAAGAAAGAGAGAAAGAGAAGAAGAAATAGAGAAGAGATAAAGAGAGCTGTGTGATAGTCAATAATTTGTAAACTTGCGAAGTGAGCGACAGCTGAGTTCACTTTCATTCACTTACTTTTTTGGTCTTCATAAAACATACATATATACGGACTATGATGAGGCAGCAGTTTCTTATAGGTAAGTAAATGAAAAGAATAATTCAATAAAATATTGAAAACAATATATGTATATATACGTATTCATTTATTTAATAATACAGGTCTGCTAAGTATTTTATCAGCAATAACAATTTATCTACCTGCAGAAGTAGCATCATTTACACGTTGTCCTGAACGTGGTACAACAGATTCTCCTACAATAAGTTATTATTCCGACGAAAAGTTTTGTAATGTATATCATAAATGCAATTGTTCTCTTACACAATGTCATGTTGTTGAATCTCATGTCTGTCCAATTGCAAAAGTTTATTCAAAAGAGAAAGCAACTTGTTTAGGTTTGTAATTTTTTTTAATAAAAAATTCTTATTTTTCTTTTTCAAATTTAGATATCGAAGAAGAAGGTTGTGATTCAACATATGTACAATGGGTACAAACTCATAGTAGTAACAGTGATGATGATAACGACAAAGATACAGTTGCTATTATGGTATCAGATTCTCTTCTTCCATCAGCATCAAGTAAAGATTTTGAATGTGAACAAGGTCAACCAGGCAAATTTAGGTATATAGATTATATTTATTAAGTCAATTTCCTATGATATGTTTTACTTTATTAGTGATCCAAATATTTGCAATATATTTCATGTATGTATAACTCGAAATGAAAAAACAGTTGATCAACCATTTATGTGTCCATATCCAACTGTATTTAAAAGTGGTCCATCCGGGAAAATGTTTTGTGCACGACCACAAGCAAATGATTGTCATGGTAAAGCATTCTATCGTACAATGGAAGATTCAACAAATTTAGCAAAAAATATAAATATGGATAATGATGATATAACTAGTTATCGTTTACCTGAAAATACACTTATGATTGAAAAATGTACTAAATCAGGTTTATATCCTGATAGTCTTTATTGCAATGCTTATCATAAATGTACAACAAAAAACGAAGATGAACAATATTTATGTGAAAATCAATTATTATTCAATCCTGAATCGAATATTTGTGATTATCCAATAAATGTTGTTTGTGGAGGTAAAAAGAATATCATTTGATGATATTTATATTTATTAAATTTAATTTTTAGGTAAAGGTTTACTTCGTCGTCCAACAGGTTTTTCAAATGGTACAGTTGTTAATTCTTCATATATAATGGTATATGGTACTGAATTACGTCCTGATTGTCCATCGGATGTATCCAATGTACTTGTTGCTGATATGAATTATTGTAATGTTTTTTATCATTGTCAATCAGGTCGTGGTTCAGTTTATATGTGTCGTGAAGGAACAGTATTTGATTCTACAAATCAAGAAGGTGTTAGTTCATGTCGTTTAGAAGAATTAATTGATTGTGGTAATCGTTTGATTTTAACTTCACAAGGTAAACGTTCATCAACATATATAAAGAAAGATAAGCCAATGACAAATACAAATTTCTTTGGTTTTGATACTAATCAATCAAAAGAAAAAAATATGATATTAACAAAAAATCTTCATCCAAAATATTCGAATTTTATCTTATTACCACCACCAATGCAAAATCAAAAAGTTATTGTTAATGTTCCATTTGATTGTAAAGGACGTATTGATGGTCATTGGCGTGATACACGTTATTGTGATGTATTTCATGCTTGTATTGCTGGTGAACAAAAACGTTCTTATGGTTGTAATCAAATAGGTGAACGATTTTATTTTGATGATGCTTCACAAAAGTAAAATAAAATAAAAATATTTTTGAAATTCAATAAAAAAAACATTTTTTTTCTTTTATTCAGATGTGAATTTGCTAGTAGAAATCAAAATGGTTGTCCAGCAAATCAATATTATACAGCAATTGAAGCTATTCCAGCTGTACCTGGAGCACAATTAAGTACAGGTAAGATGATTTAATTAATAGTATGTAAGAAAATATATTGAATAATTTACTTTAGAAGCACCAACAGAACCATGGAAAATATTTATTCAATCTCGTGAACAATTTAGTTGTTCAGGTATAATGAAAGATAATTTTTTTTTCAAGTTTTTAATTAATTTTGTTTTTGATTAAATAGGAAAACAAGATGGTTTTTATGCTAGTCGTTGGTGTAATGTATTTTATCGATGTTTTACTGGTATAGCTAGTGCTTTTCTATGTCCAAAAATGCCAAGTGGTGCTCGATTATGGTGGGTACAACATGGTTCACCACAAGGTATTGCACAAGAAACAGCACAATGTACATGGCCATGTGAAACAGGTCGTCGATGTTCAAGTTCAGGTGGCATTATTGTTGATTCTGGTTCAACAGTTAGTGAAAGTCAACAAGAAGCAGAAACTGTTTTTTCACAATCACTTTGTACAACTTCATCATCATCATCAGGCAATTTCAATCCAGGAACAAGCTCAGGTGGATCAGGTAGTGGTAGTGGTAGTTTTGTACCACAAATACCTTCAACTGGTGGATCATCAAACGCAGGTAATAGCGGATCAGTTAATCCAGGCACTGGATCACAACCAAATATCGATGGTAATTTTATACTATTTAAAAAAAAAGAATTTAAAAATTAATCTGTATATTTTTAGGATCATTTACAGTTGATTCTGATGTAAGTTGTATTGGACAAGCTGATGGTGTCTTTCTTGGAAGTCGTTATTGTAATGTATTTCATCGTTGTGTTAGTGGTACTCGACGAGATTTTCGTTGTCCACGTGCTACAAATACACCCTATGATCTTTGGTGGAATCAACAAACTCAACAATGCGATTGGCCATGTAAATTTCTTCTTTCTATATTAAATTAATTAATTAATAAATATGAATTAAATTTTAGGTCGAATACAATGTGCTGGCTCTGTCTATGGTACATCTACATCTGCTCAACAAGTTCGTACAGAAAATGCATTATTATTTAGTAATGAATGTGCTGGTTATCAAGTTAATGTTAATGCTAATTCTAATGTTAATATGGGTATTGTCAATAATCAAGCAATGGTTTATTCATCAATGCCTCAAGAACCTGAACCAACACGTAGTTCAATGTCTAAATTAATTGAAAATCCTGATCCAAATTTTATTTGTACACAATCTGGTAAATTTCCAACACGACGTTATTGTAATGTTTATTATGAATGTTCTGATGCTGGTCTACCACCAATACAAACATTTGAATGTGTTGATAGTTTCTTTGATCGTAGTCAAGGTTTATGTATGCCAAAAGATCAAGTTCCATGTTTAGGTGGTATATATCCATACGATTCAGTTCCAATTGATCGTAATCCAGATTCATTACAATGTTCAACTAATTCAGGTTTTCAATTACATACATCAAGACAATTTTGTAATATCTATTATTTATGTGATGGTACACAAACAACACCAACAACATTTCGTTGTTTTGATCGTCAAACTCAACAAGAAGGTATATATGATCCATTTGCAGAACGTTGTGATTCACGACGAAATTCCAATTGTCAAAATGCTATATTAAATTTAAGTCAAACACAATTATATCGTTCCATATCAATTGATCATACACGTTTACCTGATTTATCAACATTACCATGTAAATATGATCAACAATATGTTATTGAACATGAACAATATTGTAATTTATATCATGTATGTAAACAAGGTGATTATCATTTATATGCTTGTATATCAAATGGTGAAGATAATCAACCAACATCATATTTCTATCAACCAAATGGTCAATGTGCTGCACCATTATCAACATTATGTCCAAAAACAAAGAATGTTTTTAGTTATGGACGTTTATTAGCTACTGCCAATAGTGAAATTTTTCAACCATTTATTATGCCCGAACAACAACAACAACAGCAACAACATAATTATGGTTCAATACCAATTCAAGAACGTGTTGAACCCATTCCAAAATGTCGTTCAACAGATAATTATATAATTTCACATGAACGTTATTGTAATTTATTTTATGGTTGTAAAGAAGGTGAACTTATTCTTTATGCATGTGTTGATCGTTTAACAAATACATATGGTGGATTATTTCAATCATCAACTGGAAACTGTATACCACCCAATGAAAATTCGAATGAATGTCCAACAAATGAATTTTTTCGTCCAATAATTATTCCAACAACACGTATATATCCAAATGTGGCATTTCGTTCATATACAATGCTTGAAACATCAAATGAAACATTACGAAATCATCATGAAAAAAAATTTAATGAAACAAATGAAATAAAATCATCATTTTCATGTGTAAATCGTGCTGATGGTTATTATGAATCTGAATGGTGTAATGTTTTCTATCGATGTTTTGCAGGAAAACGTATTAATGAACATTGCCCATCAGCTGCTAGTCAACCATCATTGAATTATGATCTTTGGTGGACACATCAAAATTCTATATATAATTCAAGTAATCCACGTTATTTTGGTGGTAAAGATTATATAGTTAAATGTGAATGGCCATGTAAAGTTGAATGTAAAAAACCAATATGGATATCAACAGAAAATACAAATGGAAATTCTGAAAAAGTTTTAAAACAAGATCAAGAATTTCGTCCTGATTGTTCATTACTTAATAATAGAAAGATTGAAAATGCCATTCCAACAACACAAAATATGGTTATGTATTCAGATATACCAAATCCATCAAATTATACATGCCCATTAAATTCACAAGGTGTTAAAATTCGTCTAGCTGATCCAAAATATTGTAATGTTTTTCATGAATGTACTAATTCAAAATTAACAGGTTCATTTCTTTGTATTGAATCACAGTTTGATACTAAAGAAAAAGATTGTATACCATTTACATTAATCAATACTTGTCCACAAGATCGACGTTACTCATATTCACGTTCACGTTTAGCTGCACAAACATCAGCTTCAGCATATTTTGAAGCTGTTGAAGTACGAAGTGTAAATCCAAGTGGTTATGAATGTATTACAGATGGTATTCATACAGATCCAATGTTTTGTAATCTATTTCATGCTTGTTCGGGTCGTACACGACGAACATTTCAATGTCGTCAAACAGGTACAGATGGTATCAATGATGGTGTATCAACATTTGATTTAAATACAAAGAGTTGTACAAAATTTTCATCATATTCATGTCCAACATTACTTTATAATCAAGAATTTGTTATTTTACCTGTTATGTTTAAACCACCAACAGTTTCACCATGTGGTAAAGAAGGTTTCTTTTCTGTATCTGATGTAACTGCTCAATATTGTAATATGTTTGCATGGTGTTCGAAAGGACATGGTGAAGCTAAAGTTTTTGAATGTGTTCCATCAATTCCAGGTGCACATTCCGGTGCATTTGATATGTCTAGACGTTCATGTACATCTCGTATTACATGTCCACGTGCACGACATTCTACACCCTATAATACAAGTTTACTTGCAATGACATTACGACCAAAAATAGTTAGTATTGGTAATCGAAAACAATTTTCATTAACAAGTACAATGCTTGAAAATGGTTACATTGCATTAGGTGTAGATTTTCAAACATCATTTACATGTCCATTAGGTACAACTGGATTTTATTCAAATCCAAATTATTGTGATGTTTTTCATTATTGTTATGAAACGGGTGAATTATCATCATTTGTTTGTGCATCTATGCCTAATCGTTATCAATTATGGTGGAGTCATCAAAATGAACCAGGTCGACCAGATGTAAGTCATATTTGAATTTGAATTGCGTATGAAATTATTATTTTTTTTCTTTTCTAGAATGTATTTTGTGATTGGCCATGTAATTTACAAGGTAATTATGCTTGTCCATCTTATAAATCAAATCTTATGCGTGACAGACAACCTGTTGGTAATGTCGCACAACAAGAAGTTATTGAAGCAACATGTTCATCAGCACAAGTACCAACTGTAGGAGTTATTGTTAATGGTATTACACCAGATCCTGTTAATATTATGACTCCAACATTTTATCCAGCACCTTCACCTGGTTTAAATAACATTGGTATAAATACTATTAATATAAATAATATTCAACAATCGCCTCAACCACCAGGTAAAATTTTTAAAAATCTCTTTTTTTCGTTCTTCAATGATAATTTTATTTTAGTTCAATCATCTGTACTTGGTTATCAACCATGTGCACCTTCAAATGAATGGTATGTTAGTTTATCAACTATTCGATGTAGTTCATCATTTGCTGCAACGGGCTTTGCTCCTGATCCAAAAGATTGTTCAAAATACTATGCATGTGATTCATTTGTTGGTTCAGATGGTATGTCATCAGGTAATTTAATGCAATGTTTAGCTGGTTTATGGTGGGATCAACAACGACGTACATGTGTACTTCCATCTGAAGTAGCATGTAATCCATATAATATTATTAATTCACAAGGACAAGGTGCATTTATCGACAATAATATAAACAGTATGATTTTTTTCAATAAGAACTAGTAAACATCTATGTAATGATCTTATTTCTTAGTTAACTTTCAACCGGCACCACCGACATTTCCATTTCCACCAATGGATACAACACCAAATGTTGTCTATCCACAACCACAACCACAACCACAACCGCAAATACCTATTCAAGGTGGTAGTCCAGGTACAATTATAAAAATATTAATTAGAGATACAAATAATATCTTTTTTTCGTACACTAGGATCAACTGGTCCACCATGTCGTGGTGGTCCATTATGTATTGATGTTGGACTTAATATTCTTCAACAAATGAAAGGCATACCTGGTCGACCAGGCTGGTTGTATGTATTAAAATCTTCTTTATTTTTCTCTCTCTATATATATAATCTTAATATGAACTAAATTTTAGCTATAAATGTGACAGTCAATGTGCTCTTGAAATGCGTTGTCCACCAGGTTTAATATTTGATGATATCTATCAACGTTGTGAATGGCCTGGTGCTGGTTCTCAACCAAATCAACGTTTAGGTAGTTTAAGAAATAAAAAACCAGATAATGATGATAAAAATTCAACTAAAACAAAAGTTAAAAAATTACGTTTAATGACAACAATGAAACAATTAAATTTAACAGCATCATCAACAACAACATTATTATCAACAACAACAACAAAACCAACAACAACAGTATCATCAACAAATCAAACAACAAAACTTGTTGAACCATAATTTAAGAACTTTATGCATATATGCTGTCATACAGTTAATGCATATTATAAAGACACGCATATACATATATATAGATACTTATTTAAAAAAATTTTTTTTTCTTTATTTATTCATAGGAGAAAATGCTGATAGCCGTTTGTTTGTTTTGTTTTGTTTTTCTCTGCAGCCTTTTTTTCTGTATATATAGATTGCTTTCCACGACGAATTTCATTATCTTTTGTTGCAATTGTTGCAAAAAAAAACGTTCTTTTGTTTTTCTCCTTTCGTTTTATTATTAATATTATTATTATTTATTATCCTTGCGATTCTCTTGAAGAAATAAAAGAAAGAAATAATCTTCTCAAAAGATTAATCATGCATCGTTTACTTAATTTAAGTTTATTTTTTCATGACATAATCTATCGATTTAATACTACGTTAAATTTGACCTTTTTCTTTTACGTAAGAATTCAATATAAAACACGATTGATATATATAGATATATAGATATTAACGCTTAAGTTTAATCTTGCATTTATTTTTGAAATTTATTTTTGATTCATGATGACATAAACATTGCATTTGTGAATGATTGAGTGATGAATAAAATTCTTTACGTTCTAATTGATTTATAAATCGACAAGGTATTTGTGGATCAAATTCAAATGAATCAATATGTGTAAAAAGAACTTTACGATGAGTTAAATTAATAGAATTATTTTGATTTAATGAAAAATTTTTTCGTAAAATTGATTTTTTTGTTGGTAGTCGATGATGATTTGTCATAATAATAAAATTACTTAATTCTATACTTAAATGTTTAAGAAAAAGAAAGAGAAATCTAGCTAAGATTTCTTCTGTTGTTGTTGTTGTTGTCATAAAAAAAATATATGCGAATAATTTTGCGCTAATTTTTAATAAATAAGATATAAATTCAAATGAGAGTCAAGTAGAAATTTAATACCAGGATTACTTGATTCGTATATTTTTGTATGTATTAAGTTATATCATTATACGTTTTGCATATAGAATAACAATTAAGTGATATAAAGAACAAAGAAAATGAATGTTCATTTAGCTTATTAACTGAGCAAATATTTGAGATATGTCTCTGTACTCTATCACTTGTTAACGAAAAGATATCTATTATGTATTTCTTCTAGAATTTGTTTTATTGTACAAAATTAAGTCTATTAAAGTAAAAACACATATTTTAAATTCCCATAAATTTTATGAAATGTTTGATCCAATCGAAGTATCACTGTCAACATGTAGAATTTTTCTATTGTGTTCATTTGAATCAGATTGACAACAATGAAAATATATGATAATACTAATAACAATGATAATTATTAATACAATAATAACAATACCAAAAATATAGAATTTATTCATAGATGATTTTTCTTTGGGTGTTTTATTAATATAGAGATCTGCCGTAGGATCTTCCTCCCAATTAACATTATTTGGTATTTTATTGAATGATTTTTCGAATTCAGCTACTGTTGGTGGTTCTGAAGTACCTATCTTTTTAAGAAAGTAAAAATATATTTATACAAAATTTATGAAACTAGTTACTTTATAATAGCAAATATATGAGAAATTTTTATTTTTATTAGCAGTAGAACAAGGTTCCTCTGGTAAAAACTGTTGCTCTCGACAAATAATAGGACGATTCTTGAATATGTATATTTCTGTTGAAAAATTTTCATTTTTTTGTCCAATATTATTGATCGGCTTTGTTCTTACTGGATGTTTAAAATCTATTTCAGCTTTGTTATCATCACAATGATATTTACTGGAATCTACTGAACCGACACGTGTTAATACTAGTGGATTTTTTTTAAATGCATCTTTAGCTTTATGTATTATATTAAGATAAGTTTTTTCTTCTTTTATGATATTTTTGTTCTTCTCACATTTTACAACTGTGCCATTCCATTGTAGTAATGTAATAGATCCAACATGATCTTCTGGTAAAAATAAATTTCTATTTGAACATTTAATATATCCCACTTTTTCTATTGTTATATCACGTATAATATGACGTTCATATGGATTACAATGTATTATAGTTAAACTATTGGTAAATAAAACATCAATTACATAATTTTCTAAAGTATTTTTGGATTTCTTCAAGAAAGAAAACGTATAATTAATCTTGATTATAAATGGAAAAATTAACAAAAGAATAGAACTTAAATGCATAATTATAATGATTTTTAACAAGAAACAAAGCGCGTTTTTTACTACTCTTTAAAATACATACCATTTTTAATGCGATATGAAGCAAAGCATTTTTATTTTTTCGACGTACATATTAATTTTGTGAAATGACGATTTCAGCAATAAAACATCACAAAAACATGGTTTTGGTTAGGAACTTTACTTTTGTACATTTCGCGATAATTAAAATGAAAATAATGATAAAATCTGTTAATCATATAATTGTGTGTGTGTGTCGGGTGTGGATGTAAATATGAGTACTATATTCATCACACACCTACACCCACACCTACCCTCAAGATGGTTTTTATTACGTGAAAAACTGTGATTCTAAGATCCTGACAGTATAAATGAGTAAAAAAAGAATAACAAGAAAACACGAGAAAGAACAACAAAAGATTAGAGTAATGAAAGTAAAGATAAAACAAATGCATATTAGTAAAAAAGAAAAAAGCATGTTTAAACATGAGAAGAAAAAGATAAATAAGTTGTAAAAACAAAAGATTCCGGAAAATCCTTGAGAAGTTGGGATTTCATCAATCTCATAATAACGAATAGAAGAACGAGAAGGAATAGAACTTAATCAGTTATCAACTATTTCAACCACTGATTGAATAGATACAAATCTTTTGGATATTCTCAAACATTTTACTGAAAAATGCCTTTCAATCTAACATTGCCTGAATACGTCCAGATTAACTTTTTCAAATAACAGTGTTCCATCTGTCGAGTTAGCAAGAGCAATTAAGTACTTCTCCCAATAGTAAGAGCAATGATCTTCTTAGTTGAAATTTTATTCTTAAAACTTTCATGGAATTCAGACTCACTGTTGTACATGGTCACAAATCGTACATTACATCAACAGAACACGTGCATTCACTGTCGTACGAGATCACAAATCGTACATTACATCAACAGAACACGTGCAGTGACTGTCGTACAAGGTCACAAATCGTACATGACGTCAACAGAACACGTGCATTAGTCACTTCAGCGTCATCTTTTTCTTTTTCGGTTCTCCCGTATATCAGTCTATAAAAGAGAACGGCAAGTAGACGAAGAACCACATACCTATTCTACACTCTTCTTTCGAACGTTTTGTTACACATTGACGGATTGTAAGTAAGAATCTTTGCAAAAACGATAGAATCTTTTTTTTCAGTATATAGATTCAGAAGCATACGATAAATTCTTGTTCCAGATCACCCATTTTATATAAATAGTAATTACAGTTTTTCAGCTTAGAACAAAAAGACCTACTTGTCAACTCAAGTGGGCATCAGTAACCCTTGTAAATTGTCGGTATTAAGACGGAAACTTCAAAAATTCTGTTCACTGATTCAGAGAGCCTACCTAACTTTTTTCTGCCGAAGAATCTTTACAAATTACGACTTTCAATGCTACTAATTCAGTTCACCATATTTGTTAGACTATAATTAAGAATAGAGACAGGATCTTTATCAGACTTTTTCATTCATAAAAAAGAGTTACTTGTTACTGACGTTTGTGGTGATTTCGTGTATTTCGGCAATCTTGTACTAGATTAGAAGGTGTTTTTTCAAAATTCAGAAATTCAACAGAAAATAGTTTGTGATCAACCTTTTATTTGCGTTAGGAGGCTCATATTTTAAGAGTGGGTAGCGAGAAAAGTGCAGTTACGAGATTGAAAGCAATCGACTCGAAAAGGAATGAGAGTATCTATTTATAGATTATCTAAAGGATCATTCTCATTTTTATCTCCGTCTGTAGTTCTGTCTAGCCGACGCCGAACAATGGGACAATCAACTTCCAGCCATTCCTTTATCAACATGCTCTTCCTTAACTTTATCGTGCTGACTCTCTTCGTAGCCGAGGCTTCCGGTAGAGACGTTGTGAAGGGCACCGACATTCCACCACCTCCTGAACCTGAGCCGATCACCATCACCGAACTTCCGCTTCCACCTGTTACTTCCAACGACGCCGAGGGTGGTTGCACTTTCGATGTCAATCCACACGGGACTGGCTGCATAGGTCAAGCTTGGACGGAATTCCAATCAGGAGCTTTCTTACCAGATGGCCTTCACGTCACGGTCACGGTCACTTTTACCGGCGCTCCGGCAGCGCCTGATTCGGCTAGTATCTTTACTGGTGTGCAATTAATTCTAGTGAAGATCGATGGTAGTACATTTTCTAACGGTGATGCATGGAAATGTATCACTTGTGGTGTGCCAGAGAAAAATACGGTCGGACGCTCGTTGACGATGGACTACCCTCAAACCTTCGTTGACGGCAAACGCCTCTTGGTCGGTACGAACATCATTGAATGTACTAGTAATCTCATCAACGCTGCGTGTACTCCAGATCAAGTTCACATCTACCCTATTCGTTGGAATACGACGACGAACGCTACTGGACCTGGTGGCAATATTCGTGAGCTGCGCATACATCCGGACAACGTACACTTGGGTTTTAACGCTTTTACAATCATTAACGGCAAAATGGGTCAGTATGGCTATATGGGAAGATTGCAATTCAATCCCTTTCCGACTTGGGGTACGCCTCTATCTCCTCGTTATGATCTTGTCAATGTCTATCGACTGTACGATCCTTCAGCCCTTCAACCTATCACTGTGGATCGGGACAACAGCAGTCTACTTCACATCAATCCTCAGTCTATTGTGGTTGGTGAACTACGTGGCTTTGGTGGAACTGGTCGAGAGGTCACTTACATTGGCTACCCAGTCGAATCCTCCAATATTGATGTGTTTGCCGCTGATCTCACCACAGGCAAAGTCCGCCGACTTACAAGCCATCCAGAATACGTTGATCCGTTAGACATCTCCCCTGACGATCAGTGGACGGTTGTCATGGACACTAGGGGATCTGGACGACAGATGTTTATGGCTGGTATGCGAGGAATCCCTCCATTGACCGACATAGTCAGCTCCAGCGCTGCGTCTTCAACTCGTAACAACGGACCACGCCGATTCTTCCAGCCCTATTTGATTGACTACTACGGCGATCGAAATGCTTATTTTGGCCAAAAGATTAATGCAGCCGGAGATCGAAGCCCAGGTAGCATCAATGATCCGGAGTGGAATGGCATGGCTGATCCAAAGTGGTCGCCCGATGGCACTCGCATCGTCTACTGGCAATCTCACACTGTTCCACCAGCATGCGGCGGAATCAATCCATTAGTGTGCTACAACTCCACTGCGCCCGGTGGTCGGCATTATCGTTTGATGCTTGCCCATCTCATCAGCCGTACACCACTCAAACCTCAAGTAGTCGAACCAATTTCTGACGTCGTTCCTTGGGGAGTGAAGTATGAGCCTGGTAGTTCAATTCCCGCACTGGCCTACCCGCCGGCGGGCAAGTATGTCCTCCTTGGAAAGCATTCCGGTTGGGCCAACGTGACGCTTATCAACAACAACGCCGGAACAATGATTGGAACTGTATCGGTGGTCTACCATGACTTTTCCGACGATGGACTCAATATCCTCACGGGATCCGAAGAGGTCAGGATGAACAGCCCAAGTCCTACGGTCACCGAAGTCGACTGGTTTTCGGACCTTGTTCAGACGGGACCGAACAATAGCAAGAAAACTACAAGTCCCGATGGTTTTCATCTTTCTATTGATGTATTGATAAACATCTTCGATGCCACTGGGACTTTGACCACTACTATCAATGGTACCACCTACTATCAACCAGCAAATGGAACGTAATAGAACGGGAGCTAGTGATCCAGCTTTTAAAAATGTACACTTTACGGGCAGTCGTTGTCGTTCTTTTATAATGACTTTTATTTTAATGAGCAATAAGGATGGGTGTGGGTGGCTATTCCTCTTATGTCACATTCACACTCACACTCTCAAGATTTACTTTATTTCTTTGTCTTTATTTTTCAAAATAAAGATAAAGTTTTTCGTTATTTTATTCTTTATTATAAAGTAATATAAAAATAAAATAACGTTCCTACTCGTTTTCTTCGTCAGAAAAAAACGAGCGAGGAGCGTTAAGCGCTCTTTTGAATGACTGAAGAACAACACAAGAAGGAAAAGAACGCGCAGCAGTAGCAGTAAGATTAACATCATACAGCGTCACAAATCGTACACGACAACAAGAATAGGCAACACATCAGCGATACCTTTTTCTTTTTCTTTTTCTTTTCATTCTTTCGTAGACATGCCTAAAAAAAGAACGAGAACGAGAAGAACCACACTGTATACTCCGCGTCCATCCTTTGCTAGTTTTATTTTTTCGTCAGGTTTATTTTTTTGCACTCACAATAACAACCATTGATTGTAAGTGATGACGGTTGTCTTCAGTTTAGTTTTTCAGCTGCTTTAAAAAGGAACAAAGCACATCCACTCACACCCTGTTAGAACCTGCTAGATCCTTTATGGATTTCTACGTTTGTGTATAGGCTCTTACATCTTTATAACCCCTATAAATATATCTTTCTGAAATATATAGTAGTTTTGAATTATTTTATAGTTTAAAACCGTCATAGACTCTTCCCCCTCTAAGATTTGTAAAAGGAGATGTCTACACAGTCTAACTAGATTACTTCTATTTTCTTTCTAACCATTGCAGAAGTGACAATACAAACAAACAGACAAAATGAGCAGCACCAGCACGAGAGAAATGTGCCATAAAGCCAAGATGGTATTGATAATAACTTCGGATGAATCTCTTATACAACAGTGTACATTAAATGAACAAAATAGCTCGTCAACTCAAGTGTTTGATCTAAGAAATGATGGACAAATAACAGCTTTTCACACACGCGTTGACATCGATCAAGTAAGCAATGTATTTATTGATTCTGGAAAGAAGGAAGCTACGGGTGTAGATATGGGTGAATGTGAAATTGATTCAATTTTCACACCCACACTCACCCATCCTCAAGTTATAAGTGTCAGTTTTCCATGGAAGAAAAAACTATCCCATGAGAATACTTGTAGCTCGCGATCAATTTTTCCACTCCAATTGGATCGTTTGACGCGAAGTCTTTCTTTTTCAAAAAATATAACATTCTACATTTTCTTCTTGTATCGTTTTTCAACAAGGATCCCTTTGTTTGCTCTTGTATTTTTTTTTCAGAGTGGCAAAGAGGACCTTCTACATCGAAAAGAGACAGCACTAAATTCACCTTTGAAACAACAACAAAGAAGAAAAAGAAGAAAAGATGCACGTGATACAATATGTGTTGTATGTGGTGCTGAAGCAATTGGTTTTAATTATGATGCGCTCACATGCGGATCGTGTAAAATATTCTTTTGGAGAAACGCCGATGAGCCATCCGTAAGTGTTTCTTCATATACTAGGTACTCCTTCTAACTGCTGCTTTTTCTTTCAAAACAAAAAACGAAAACAGAAAACTCACCGTTGTGTACAAGGCGATAGCAAGTGTCCCGCGAGTAAAATAAAAATGTGTCCATCATGCCGGCTGAAATGCTCTTTCAACATGGGAATGAAAAAAGAATGTTTCTTAAAAACCAAAGATGCAAAGAAAGAAAGCCTTAGCAGCAGTCATATAACCTTGACTTCGTCTGCGTCACCCTCGAAAGAAAAAGGGTTACACGACATGCTTCATACTGATGTGAGTACTTTCTCATTAAGTTTATCTTACATTTCTTGTAGTTCGATTGATATGTAGGTATTAACCTTGGAAGATTGGCTAAAACTTCAATCTCTTCAGTTATCTTTTACGCCCTTACATGATAATTGTCAGGAAACGATTGCTGCAAACTTCGAAGATAACATAACGCGTGCATTCTCATGGCCCACTAGGGCTAATGCGCATGTAACAAGATTAATTGCTTTTTGTAGACAAACAGAAGAATTTGAATATTTGACAAATGAAGATCGATTTACATTGATCAAATACAATATGCTCAATTTATTACCCCTGTACACATGTCTCTATTTGGATATGTATAGAATCGATATTGATATGGAGAAGATACGTCATAGTTATCGTGATTCTCTTGGTGTAGATGGTATACATGAGGACTTTACTGCACTTCTTCATTCTCTATTTCGTGCTACTGAACGAGATCCCGTTCTCCTACATTTACTCATCGCGATCATTCTTTTTTCAAAAGGCATGTCAGCCATTGATCAAGAGCCACCACTTATAGATCCAATGGCGGTAAATAGAGCACAAGAGCACTATGTTCGCCTTACTTGGAATTATCTTACAGAAAAATATGGTTCTATTCAAACAGCGAGCCGTTTCACGCAGTTATTTTATCAAATACTCTGTATTCAAAAATTGACTCAGAAATCACATTTCTATATGCAAAAGAAACATTGGACACCTCAAACTGCCGAACAAATTAGTCCCCTTATACAATCGGTGTTGCACATATACCCGTGAAGAACAGGAGTACTATCGTTTTCTTTGTTCTGATGAAAGAGTATCAGTGTATGTGTATGCTACCTCGTTGAAGATGCATAGCTGTACAACTCAGTTGGTTTATATATTCAGGGGTAATCATTGTACATTTTATAATTTTTGGAAAGTGAAAATAAGCGTACGTTGTTTTAAATGAAAACTAGTGAAAAAAAGAGCATGATAGGAAAAAACTACCATCTTGAAGGTGTGGATGCAGGTTTAGGTAAATGAAAGATGAATTCATATCCACATCCATACCCACACCTTCAAGTTTAAATACCTACAATCAATTACTATCTTATCTGATTTATGTTTTAACTAGATATAGATTATTATATCATATTAGATCTTTTTATTTCAAACATTTGAATTTATTTTTATTTGTTAGAGCGACAGTTATTTATATATAAATCAAGTGCTTTTCATACATATTTACACGTCAACAAAACTTTACATTATTATTGTGAATTAGTCGTTTTAGCCATTTGTATAGATGTTCGTGGGCTTATATAATCTGCCATTGTTGTTAATGTTAAGATTTTTCCTCTTCGTGATTCATGCATAAGTAACATTTGTTTAATATCATTTAAACTTGGTGATTTTACTAATTTTTGATTGGATAATTGACGTGAAATACCTGATGGCTTTGTTGTTGAATTTAATGATAGATTATTTAATCGATGATGTTCTTCATCATGATCAGTATGAACTGTTGAATGAATAAACCATTCAGGTAATGTTTTAGGTTCAGATGGAACCTTTTTACTAGCTAATTTCATTTTTAATGATAATGATTGTGTTGTAACTTCAGCTGTTGATTGAACGGGCTTATTAGATTTTCTTCCTAGCTTACCAGAATCACGTGATGATCCTATTAATGAATATGTATTACTTGTTCCATCAATATCCATTTGTGAATAATAATCATCATCATCATCATCATCTCTTTCAATAACAATTTGTATTTCATGATTAACTGCTGTTGTACGATCAAATACATTAGATGCATGCGAACGATTAGTATTTGCTAATGTTCCTTCTCTATTAGCAGAATGATTTGATGATAGTAAAGAAGAATTTCCATTTTGTTGAAACAAATCGTGGTCGGAAGAATCTTTCATCTGTTGTTCATTTTTTATAATGTTATCAATTTGTTTAAGTGCTTTATATATTGGCTTCATTTGTTCATTAAATAAACTTACACTAATCGTTTGTCGATTTGTTGTATCGTTTGTTTCAACATCTTCATGTACAACACCACCACATAACAAACATATTAATGTATCCTGTGTTAAATCGTATAATTTTCCAATATCTAATTCTGTATATTCTTTTGCACATTGTTCACATTCATAATTTGTTTGTTTATATGTTTGTTGTCGTTCAAAATTTTCTACATGCATTCGCATATGTATTAAACGATATCGAACAACATTAATAAATGTTTCTCTATCAAATTTATAATAATATTGATCTTGACTACGTCGACCAGTTGTACCATCATTAGATTCAAGACGATGATCTTCTATAATAAATTTATCACGTTTAAATTCTTGAATATATCCACGAACTACTTTAGGATCTAAACATAAACGATCAGCTAAATCTTGTTGTTTTATTTTTTTATGATGATAAATATATTCAATAACAAGAGATTTTGGAACTTCATAAAATGTACGCATTATAAAACGAATTAATGCTCGAAGTATTGCTTGTGGATCATTTGTATCATAAACTGGAAGAGATACATCACTGGATGAAGAAGTTTTATGTGGATTAGGTTTTGTTGGTAGAGGGAGAGAAGAATTCATATTTGAAAACGAACCACCAGCTGATGCAGTCGACGACATGTCGTTTTCGATTGTATTTAGATCGGCAAAGGCTATAGTTAACAAAAGAAAAATGCAGAAGAATCCATGATTAGTAGAAAAATAAAAAATATAGTTATTTTATAAATGTTTCACGAAAACCTACATCTGTAATCTTTCGCACTTTAAGTAAAAACTAAAAGAATATGAAATAAGAGAACTATCGCTTATTCTGAAATTTGTTATCATTTTTATATTTTCGATCTATGCTCATATCTTTTCCATAGATATAATAAAGAAATAATTTGCCTATTCTTATGAAAAAATACATGAATATAAGTTAGAATTCGAACGACAGTTGCTACTAAGTCATAGAAGAAACTGCATCTCCATATCTTTTTAAATTTATTATTCATTCAAGTTTTTCTTTCTTTAGTGATCTTCAAAATATCTTCTATATATTTAAAGAAATAAAATTATACTTTACTATTTATCACGACTTAAGGTAAGATCAAAAAGAGAAATGCAAAATGAAATAATAGTTTATTTCATCATATATAGTGATGTATTGGAATATTCCGTAGAACAAAAAGGTAATACATTACAGAAAAGAAAAGGAAAAAAACCCAGGTAAATAAAGTAAAATTCAATGATGATGTCACTACATCACACTATTCAACGACAGTATTTAATAGAGAATTATTCGTTTATACCATATAAGTTGTGCAACTTCATTTTTAAAAACGAAATATTTCTTACAAAATTCGTAAAAAACATGATTATAAAAATAACCAATAAAACTTTTTATATAAAAATCAATGCTTGCTCAGACAATTGTATTCTGATAGTCTACAGATAAGGGTACAAATTATTCTTAAATAATTCGAATCATATGATAAAATTTATAAAAATTCAAGTAAACTACATATAAAGACGAATATTGAATTCGGTGTGTGTGGATGTGGGTGTATTTTTATTTCTTTACATCCACTCACACCCACACCCTCAACTTCAACGATTAAAACTGAGAAAAATTTCCTAGACTTTCTTTTCTAAAGTTTTGTTCTCTCCAATAAATTTGAATTTTAAATTCAAAATCACTACGATCAATGCAGGATTTGGAAAATCATCCGACTCAATAAAAATAATTCCATGTAAAATGCAAGTCACATACTCAGAATTGATTTGATAGATTTAATCATTACTTCTAAATTTACCTGATAATGAATCTGTGAGCAAGGTTCGAATCACCTCGTAAGAAGCTCTGAACCAGTTTTTTCTTGTCAATAAAACTTACACCCTCATTCTCATTCTCAAAATTGTGTAGTTTTTCAGATAAAATAAGAACAAATAATTGATACACAGAGATCACGACTGTGTTGTAACCTACCAAAAATGAGAAAAGTGGAAGCATCTATGTCCAAGACCAACTTAGTAAATCAATTTATAACTTAATTAAAAACATTAACTGATAGTGATGTGCACCATTTATACAAAGAAATTTCATAAAAGCATTTTCTAATAAGCAAAGATCCTTTTTTATAATTAATCATACATCCTGTTTTTGACTAAAATGGTACTGATAATTGATAGAAATAATTCAGCATCATCACAAACAAAAAGACTCTTACTTTTTATATTTAAGACTTCAAGATAGTTTTTTTACGTTGTCAAAAAATTCATATCAAGTATTTATCGTCAGTCTCTTTCGATAGAATATATTAGACGAACAAGAAATCAAAAAATTAGACGAAGAGTCTTTGAGTTTGAAATTTCATTTTCTGCCTGTTTTTATTACATGTACAAGCGAAATATTCATTTTAGTGTAGAACATGCGCTCGAAATAACAACCATGCTGTCATTAGTCATAGTTTGTGATCGATTGTTTGCTACATGTATTATGCTCGAGCAATTTTGCATTTTTTTCTCGCTGTATTGGTCGACCAATAGGATCGAAATCGCGATTATCGTCGTTTGTCATTTCATACTCATCCCTTGTGATTACTTAGTCATTTCTCCCATGTCCCTTCGTATTTAACTTTTGCAGCTTAGAATTCTCTTTTATCGGTATTTTTTTTTCGTTCGTCGCTTATTTAACAAATGAATACGTTTTTAACCGTTTTTTTTAGGAAATTCCCCACTTTTTTTTTGTACTTGGAGACACAGGTTGTTTTTTTCCAAGTACGTCGCTTTCAACAATAAATAACGCCGTAGCGGCGTACATCTAATCATTCACATATCTCAAAATGCCCAAAACACAGCGACTACGTCCAATGCATTTCACTCTCATTTGGTTCAATTCCAAGGATCTCGATGATTTAATTATTTGTCAATTATTGTCGATGTTCAAAGTCATCTTTCCAGTCAATAAACTTGATCAATGTTTAGAATTACTTCGATTAATTCATAATGAAAAGGTCATTTTAATTGTTCCAAACGAAGTTCTGGAATCGATAGGAGCGTCGATTCAACCGATGTCTCACGTGGATTCAGTTTATATTTATTCCGAAGAGCAAATCAATCTGGAACAATGGAAATTGGCAAATTCGAAACTGAAAGGTTCTTTCAGCGATCTTTTGTCTCAATGTCGATTATCACAACGAGTGTGGCATCCATGTCATCTCGCTCCAATATCGTCGAATGTTTTGCCATCAAATGCAGAGTTCATGGATCGAGCTTCAAATCAACTTGATCCAACATATATGTGGACCCAATTATTAAAAGAAGTCATTCTCGAAATTGACAATGATTCTGAAGCTTTACAGAAAATGTTTAATTATTTTCGTCAAAAATTTGAGAACGATTGTGTAATGTTAGACACGATTATTAAGACAGAAAAGGAATATCGTTCGAAAACAGCAATTACTTGGTACACAGCAGAAATATTTTTCTACAGCGTTCTGAATACAGCTCTCCGTCTTCAAGATGTTGAAATCATTCTTCAGTTCGGTCCTTATCTTCGTGATCTTCATGAGCAAATTAAACAATTACATGCGATACAATATCCAGCCTCATCATTCAAACCGTTTACGGTTTATCGATGCCAAAGAATGGGCAAAGCTGAGTTTGACAAATTACGAACCAATAGAGGTGGTCTATATTCTTTTAATAACTTCTTATCCACAAGTCTTGATCTAGATGTTGCATCGATAATTGCAGACAGCATTGCAATGTCTACTGATCAAAATCTTCTAGCAATTCAGTTCGTCATCAATATCAGACATTCTCAAAATGATGTTCCATTCGCAGATGTCAGCGAAATTAGTCAGCACGACGATGAACGAGAAATTTTATTCTCAATGCATACTATCTTCCGTGTAACAGATATTGAACCTATCGGTAACAATGATCGTATCTGGCGTGTCGTATTAGAATCAACTGATGATAATGATGATAAATTACAGATGTTCGCAGAAGAATTACGCTCTCGAATCGGTAACCCAACAAGTCAATATCGAATCGCCGGTATTTTGGTAGTATTAGGCTATAATGATCACGCTTTGAAAATCTATCAAGAACTTTTCCAATCAACAAATGACCAAGACGAACAAGCGCTTCTCCATTTTTATATTGGAGATATTAAATCTTGCGAGGATCAGTATCAAGAAGCCATCAATGAGTTTGAACAAGCTATTTCAATATATAATACAGTAGCTCAAAATGGCAAAGAAGGTCGTTTTTTTACTTCTCATCGTGCTGCCGAAACTTACAGTGCACTAGGATCAGTATACGGCGATTTGAAAAAGCTTAATCAAGCTGCCTATTGTCTTCACAAAGCAACAGAAATCGAACCACTGATCATTAAGCATTGGTACACTCTTACTTCTTTACTTCGAAAGGAAGGTCTACATCATGAAGCCTTAAAGGTTTCCAAAATAATATCAAGGATCCAAGCTAAAAATACTCCCGAAGGTCATCCAGACTGGATTCGAACCTACGATCTAATCGGCGCTGCTCACATAGACTTAGGTCAAAACGAAAAAGCACTTGTCTTCTACATGAAAACTTTGCAGATTGCTCAAAAGTTTTTCTCTTCCGATCATCTAATTCATCGTAGTACCTACAGAACCATAGCCGATATTTACTCGAACATGGGCAACTACGAGGATGCAAAGAAATATTATCACATGGCTTTAGACATCTATGAAAAGTTGTCTGGTGATGAGTCAGTGCTGGCCAATTTTTACACTGCACTTGTCCAGTTTTATACAAATTATCAACAATGCGAGACAGCATTAAAATATTTTGAAAAATCGCTGGAAATCAAGAAACGAATCTTGCCTGCTGATCACATCGATTTCGTAATGATGGATCTTAATCAAGCAGTGTTGTACTATCGGTGGAAGAAATATGACAAAGCGGAATCATTGTTTCTAATAACTTTCTATAAATTTCGTAGTAATTTTTCTGGGGATCGTTCTTGTCTGGCGGAGTGTTGCGCTCATATGGGCAAAATGTGGCACGAGCTTGGAAGAGATGATGAGGCACTTTCATTTTATAAGAATGCGCTGGAAATTCGTCAAGTAACTCCGTTTAGTAATTATCAGCAACTTGCTGCATTGTACGTCGGTATTGCTGCTGTCTATCACGAGAGAAATGACTATGGTGAAGCTCTAGCCTATTATGAACGTGCCAAAAGTACCAGACAACAGGTTTTATCTAACAATCATCCAATTGTTCAAGAATTAAACGAAAAACTAGAAGAGACTGAAATTCGTATGTGCACAAATTTTTATTGAGAATAGATTTGTTGTATTTATGCATGAATAGTTTTGAAAAATAATTTGTTTCACTCATTCGCGTATTTCCATTCCTTTTTCAGGTTGTGGTTGTGGATGTCGGTATTGTTTCTATCTCATACCCACACCCACACCCAACAATACTTTGACTATTATTCATAATTTTGGAAATGGTAAGGTTGAAATTCAAAATGATGATTCATGATAATCCAATGAATTTACTATAGTATCTATTGATAGTCTTAAAGGTGACGTGCAATTACCTGCAGCCTGGCAATATTCTTTCTATACAAATCAATCACTATCATTTGCGCTTGGTAATGCTTAGCAATGAATTCCTTGAGCTCATGTTGCTTCATGAGGATTTTCATTAAGTAATACAAATGAGTGTAAAATTTTATTCAAAAACAGTAATACAGTAACATAACTTGTACTAATTTTAATCAAAGTCTTTATTTAAAAGGAAAACAATAGCACAAATGACTTTGTCATACATTTAAAATAATTCTACAAAATATTATTGCATATATTCAACTTTATTGATAGAAAAAAAAATGCAAATATTTAAAAATCAATCGCCTAGTTATAATCTTAAATTTGATGCATTATGAACATGACACAATTAAATGTTCACAATATATATAATCTTATTTTTTTGTCTGATGTCGCTACTTGCCAATATAATCTATTACGTGCCTCTTTTTTCATCCAACCATAAACCTTGACACAATTCTTTTTTCATAAGCAAACAGCTGATTGATTGAAGAATTATTTCATTTCCATCAAACATAAGAATATTGTTTTGACTTAAAATTTCATGTCAATACTTTCATCAATCATTATTATACAAAAAAATCATATTAAATTGTTTTATTATTGACATATTTCTTTATTTCTTTGTTAAATTAATATTTTCAATGCCCTTGTGGTATTATGATAAAAAAGATCTAAAATCAACACCATCTATTCATGATGGTGTTGATGCCGAAACTGAACAACGTTATCGACGCGAAGGTTGTCGTTTTATCCTTGATCTTGGTTTTCGACTTGGCTTGTAAGTTCATACTATTTTTTATTTTATTTTTAAATTTTATTTTTTTTCTATTCACTAGACGATCGGAAACAATGGGTACTGGAGCTGTTTTTTTTCATCGTTTTTATATGTTTCATTCATTTAAACAATATCCAAGATATGTAAGTTTAAAGTACCAATAAATATTTCTTTTTATTTGTAAATTCAAAGGCAATGGCAACATGTTGTTTATTTTTATCTGGTAAAGTTGAAGAAACACCAAAAAAAATTCGTGATATAATGAAAACAGCACGATTAATACTTGAAGGTGCTCGTGAACGTTATATACCAACATTAGGTGATGAAAAAGGAGATTTAATCTTACAATATGAACGTATTTTATTACCAACTGTTAAATTTGATTTTTGTATTGCAAGTCCGTATTCGTTTCTTAAACAATACGCAAAAACAATTGTAGGTGATAAAGAACAAATACGACAAATGTTTCAAATGGCTTGGACATTTGTTAATGATAGGTAATTTAGAGATATATATATATATATTTCTATTTCTTAAACAAAAAAATTCAATTTTTTAGTTATTGTACAACATTATGTTTACAATGGGAACCAGAAATCATTGCAATAGCTGTGTTATATCTAGCTTGTAAATTATCAAAATTTGAAATAACAGATTGGACAACAAAAAAAGAAAATAGTAAACAAAAATGGTGGGAACAATTTGTTGAAGGTTTAACAAAAGATATTATTGAAGATATTTGTCATCAACATCTTGATCTTTATTCAAAAAGTAATTTATCATCTCCAGGAAATGGAACAGTTGGTAATCCATCAATTATGCTTACACCAACACAAACAAATTCAACTGTCACATCACCTATACAACCGATTTCTATTGAATCGCCGTCAACATCGCGATCAATGCCATCAGCTAAACGAGTATGTTAACAGAAATATTTTCTAATGAAGAAAAAAACAAATTGTTATTTTTCTTATTTTAGCCACGTAATGATGATGAATCAAATTATCGATCATCACGCAATAATAATCATCATCATTCATCATTTTTAAATTCAAATATTGGAGGTATTCCAACGAATTTGACTGTACCACCATTACCTTCTTCAACATCTTATCATCATGTATATGATTTTTATTTTATTTTTTTGTTTGTTATTAAACTCTTTTTTCTACTTATTCAGACATCATCGCACGATGAA